CCCTAATAGCCTACCCCCAAAGTTCAGCAAGGGGGCAGAGCCTGGCCTTGGCTCAAAGCCTCACTTCAAGAACTAAAATTTGAGAGATGAGTAGATGAAAAAAGACATATCTTCAGGACCTTTATGATGCTCAGGATATCGTTCTAGGAACCCCCAGAGCTCTGGAGTGACCGTGTCCAAGCCCCATTCATATTGATTTGTACCACACACACGGGTCTCTGCTGCTTCCTAGGACTTTCAATATCCCTTCCCTCCAACACCTTTTCTCCCTTACAATCGCCCTGGGGATTTTTCCAAGGGCCCTTTGCTGTTGCTTCCTGGAGACCTAGAGTCCTGCAGTCTGTCTGAATGTGTTTGTGGCCCTTCCCTAGGAGGCTGCTGGCTTGCTTGTCTGTGCTAGTGCTGGCTTTCCTGGTGGCCCACTGTTGCTTGTGGGTGGCTGGCTGATTTTTTTTGTGTGCAGATGTGGAGTGGACAAGTCACTTACTATGATTTCTTATTGGATTTCTTGATCATTCTCGATCAAGTGCTTTTTTTTTTTTTACTGGCATAGATACAAGGGAGTTGTGCAACCAGTCTGTATTCAGGCAACCATTTTGGCCACAAGTCCTCCTGTCTGCTCTTTGTTCAAAAGGGAGACATTGTGGCAGAATGCAATTTGCACTGGGCAGACAGAAAATAAGGGTTTTAACTCCAGTTTTGCCACTAACTAGCAATATGACTTGAGGCTAGCTACTGAGTCTATAGCTCTATAGCTACTCAGCTATAGAGACTTATTTTTTTCAGCCCTGATTCTAGGGAGAGATGACTTTGTTTTTGTCACTTTAGCGTTTGGCTCATTAAGTGGGAATTTAAATATTGACAGGGGGTTGATCAATTAAATGTATTGGGGATACAGGAAAGATTATTTGGAATAGTAAGAAAGTAATATTGCTTGTTTTGTTTAGTACCACATTTGGTGTATCCCAGAAGTCTTAGTGTACTTTTGGGCTATCACAGCTCAAAGAGAATCGAAGCAAATAAGCTTTCAAAGCTTAAGACTGCACTGAGACTTTTGGGACACTATTTTTAATGATTAAAATGTGTTGGAGAGCAACTTGGGATTGTTGAAATAATGAATTATGTATTTTTTGTTAAACACAAGTATTTTTATTAAATTATGTATTTTTATTAAAAATAACTATTTTAAATATTTACTAGCACCAAGAGGGAGAGAGAGGAGCTTGGGGTTGCAAAGACGTGGGGAGGACACAGCAGGTAGGTAGATGGGAAAGGGTGTAAAACCTTCCACCCCCGGGCCCATCTTTTGTTTGCTCTTGAGATTGGTATTATGAAGCCTAGCGATGGCCCAATATCCTGCTGCCTCTACAATCCACCCCTCAGCCCCAAACACACATATACCCAGCATAGGGCCTATACAGGGTTAGTTATAGAACTTCCTCATTCCTTGTCTCACTTTCTTGTAGAGATCCCAAGACAATGGTTCCTGGGTAAATAGAGAAATTTATATTTTTTAAATATGTGTTGTTTTAAGCTATTAAAGAATTGTAAAATGCTTTAAAAGGCCATTGGATTTGGCACCTTAAAGCAAAGTTCCAGGTACTAAAGGTAGTATGTAAAAGGGTTCTGATCTAAGTTAGTGGAGAAAATATTCACACTGAAGAAATCCCTTTGTGGATATTACTAAACAAAAGGAAAACAAAAAAAATCACCTTTCAGGGTGTATCCTGGGGTTAGTACAGGTTCAGAAAAATGTGAAAATTACTGTTTCTTATGAAGATTCTGGAGGTAGCTAGGTGGCAAAGTGGATACAGTGCCAGTCCCAGGGTCAGGAAGACTTCTTGAGCTCAAAGCTGGCCTCAGACACTTACTTGCTGTATGACCCTGGGCAAGTCACTTAACCCTATTTGCCCAAACCACTCCAATGTCTTTGCCAAGAAAACACCAAATGGGTTCACAGAGAGTTGGACATAACTGAACAGCAAACAACAATGAAGATTTTTGAGGTCTTACAAGATCCTTACAATGAAGTTTCCATTTCATTCAGTATTCTCTATTCATAAACAAAGGACATTTTATATTTTTAATAAGAATCAATATAAATGAAATTGTTGGCTTAATTTCACATTGATTGTACAATATCATCAGAAGTTTTTCTGCCTTCTACAATTAATTTGTTTCCCTTTCATATATGTGTATATATGCATATATATATATATATATATATATATAGTATGCATGTATATAAGTATAAATGTATGAATATATGTATGTCAGGCTTAGTACAATACTGGGTGTCAGAGAATGGAGTTGTGAATCCATTCCTCCATGTAGTTACCAACTACCAACCACCCCAAAATAACATTGGGGTATGTTAAAGGCACCTTCTACAGGGTAGGAAGAGTTGATCATTAAATTTTACATTTACATTTACATTTAGCATTTACACCTTGTAAATCAGCAAATTAAGCTTGATATTTTGTTCTGTTGATTGGCTAGACTTCAGAAGGTGATGGAGAGAATGTTAATAATTTAGATTAACTTTAAAAGCCTATTGTGTATATACATTTACCAGCACACCCCTGCCTAAAAGATTTCATAGGACTTTTAGAATGGATTTTTCCTCAGATATTTCAAAGGAATTCATCTTTTCAGCTGGTCCAAGTTGGGGATCAGTATTTAATTGACTCAAACCATAAAGAGTCTTTAGACTAAATACTACAACTCCATCATGTTATAGCTATGGAAGGTGGGACTGCCCTTTTCCCTCCCCCTCCTCCATACTGTGTACTTATACTGTAATCATTTACTCAACAACCATTTCTTCATTGTCTGCTGTGTTTGTACCAGGACATGAGGAATGCAAATAAAAGAAATGAAACAATACTTACTGTCAAGGGTTACTATCTAACACGGGGAACAAGTACATATATAAGTACATACACAGTAACTATGGAGAGAATCAATACAAATAATTTCAAAATAATTAAATCCAAGGTAGATAGGGAGGAAGAACATTAGCAGTTGGTAGGATCAGGAAAGGCTTCAGCTGCTTGAGATGAGTGTTTTTTTTTAAATTTCCATTTATTTATTTTTGGTTTTCAACATTCACTTTTATAAGATTTTGAGTTCTAAATTTTTCCTCCTCCCTTCCTTTGCCCCTCCCAAGACCGAATGCAATCTGATATAGGCTATACATGTACCATTGAGATGAGTCTTTACTGAAAGATGTGATTCTATGATGCAGGGTTAGGGAAGGAGGACATTCCAGACATGGGTAACAGAGTTGGTCGGTAATTTTCAATGAAGCTGGAAAGATAACTTGTATATACAAAGGGGTGTGCTGGCAAATGTTTAACAAGTGGCTGTGTCTATGAGGGAATTATGCATGACAGACTTTAAAGTTTAATCTGTATTAACATTTTCTTCATCATTTTCTAAAGTCTAGACAATCCACAAAACGATAAATCAAGCCCTGATTTGTAGCGTTTGCCTATTTCCAAGGTGTAAATGCTCACACTGAAAATTTATCAGTTGGAACTTTTGAGTGAGTTAAGGCAGGCTCTAGCACACTCAATGCTTGCTTGCCTCTGTGTGTGTGTGTGGAGAGAGAGAGAGAGAGACACACACACACACACACAGAGAGAGAGAGAGAGAGAGAAGAGAGAGAGAGAGAGAGAGAGAGAGAGAGAGAGAGAGAGAGAGAGATTGTTGTTTAGTAGGTTTTTTTTGCCGGTCATATTGGACTCTTCATGACCCCTTTTGAGGTTTTCTTGGTAAAGATACTGGAGTGGTTGGCCATATCCTTCTCCAGTTTTTTTTTCTCAGATGAGGAAACTGAAGCAAATAGGGTTAAATGACTTTCCCACAGTCACACAGCTAGTAAGCGTCTGAGGCAGGATTTGAATCTTAGGAAGATGGGTCTTCCTGATTCCAGGCTCAGGGCTCTATCCACTTCCCCACCTAACTGCCCATAGAGAGAGGGGTAGTGTGGCCTAATGAATGCTGTCTCACTATCCACTCATTCTGACTGTGTAACCTTGAGGTTCTGGGTTAAAACTTGTTAAGCTATAGCTGAAAAGAAGAGGCCAACTTTCATTGGTAGAGGAAGTTTCCGCATTCCTCTATCAACCAACTCATCTGTCCAGTCCTGTCCTATACACCTATGTTTATCTCACATCTTGTCTACCCTTATAAAACGCAAATTTCCGTGAGGTCAGGGACTGTTTCATTTTTTTTTCCAGTCTATGCAAGCCCAATACCTAATGTAGTGCCATGAGACTTTGAGCTCCTTGGGAGGAGGAACTATTTTTTTTAAGTCTAAACTTAGACCATGATAGTCATGAGGCTTACATGTAAGAGACATATGTGACAAAGGCTTAACCAACAAATCTGGAACGCCTTCTTTCCGTGTAGAGGCCCCTTGCAGAACCCTTTGCTTGTTGTTGTCCTGACTTGCTCCTAAATTGGATTTAGGTGAGGCAGAGCTGCACAAGCTCCTCAGCAGGAGGAACTATTTTTTACCTTTCTATTTATCCCCAGTGCTTTGCACATAGTAGGAGCTTACTAAATGCTAAATGACTAGTACCTAGTCAATAAATGCTTAGTGGTTAGCCGACTATTTGCCCGAAGTCACAAAGCTAGTTTAGTGGAAGAGCCAGGAATAGAATTCAGGTCTTCGCTCTCCTAGTCTAACCTCTCGCACTTTGCAAAATTTTTTTTGGGGGGGGGAGGGATGAGACCCACGTGGTCAACTTTGGCTTCTCAAAGATCCTCAAATTGACTAAACCACTCAATCTGGGCTTTGCAATTGATCTCTGCCAGACTGGGACGCCTCTGCTTGCCAGCTCCCCTTAAAGAGCGAAGCAAAAGACTCCTTGGAAGCCCCTTCAGGACGGACAAACTACTCCAGGATTGATTCATCGAAACCGGGAAAAGAGAAAAGCGGTTGGGCAAATAAGAGTTTTGGACCTTAGAGGCCACTGTAGGTTGGAGTGGGAAGGCGGAGTCGGGGAGAGAGCAAGATGGCGGCCCGCGGTAGTGACAGCGAAGATGATCTCGTCACCTACGGGACTGGCCTTGAGCCCCTGGAAGAAGGTGCTCGGGCTGGGGTGGGGCACAGTATCGTAGATCAAGAAGGGGCAGGGAGCAGGACTTAAGCTCCTTATGGGTTGGGGTAGGGGTGAGCCTAGGCCAGAGGAGAGAGGGAGTCCCCGGGAGGCGGGAGTAAGGGGGAGGCGGGGTCTCTTCCGGAAGCCCGGCGACCCCTGGAGGGAGGAGGGGGCCGCGCCCGGAGAGCGGCACCTGCAGCCGCGGCGGCCGGCCAGCTGGGGCCGGAACGGTCCTGCAGCCGGTCTGCCCTCCTTCCGGCCTCTTCTCTTGGGCAGGCTGCTCTTCCCCCTCCCCCGTGGTGTTGAAGTTCGTACAAATGGGTGGCCGGGTTAGAGGACTCTGGGTTTGGGGTTTTTGTGTTTTGGTGGTGTTTTTGTTTGTTTAATTCCCCTGGCGAAAGTTGCCTTGAGTCTTAGGGCATGCAGCTCTAAGTTTTAGTAGTCTAAGGCTCCTCCGAGGCTTTGGGCACGCCGCCACTGTGGGACTGTGTATTCAGACGCTCTTAAGATATTTTAAAATTGCATTAAGATTCAGTAGTGGTAGGAGCACCTGAAGTTCGAGGTCAGCTCCCTGGCCTCTCTCTGCTTCAGTCTCCTGATCCATCCAGTGATTGCCCTTGGTAGTCTCCATCACTAACATTGGGTGATAGACTGCAGATAAATACAAAGTATTCAGGTAAAACAGATCTTGGGATTTTCTTCCCAGCAGGGGGGATGAGACATTTATTAAGTGACTACTACTATCAGCTGATGGTACCACCACTACTAGTACTATTACTACTAATAGTAGTAGGAGACTGCACACTTTTTGAAAGTGTGTTAAAAATCTTATCAAATATTGCATAGGGCAATACTGGTCACATAAGGCACATTTACTACTTGTTGAACTAAATCATAAACAAACGAAAAAACCCAACCATGTATTTATTATTTTCCTCCCAATTACGTGTAAAAACTATTTTTGATGCTTTTTTTTTTTAAGTTTTGAGTTCCAAATTCTATCCCTCCCATCTTCCATCCCTGAGACAGTAAGCAATCTGATATAGGTTATACATGTGCAGTCATGTAAAACATTTACATATTAGTCATTTTGTACAAGAATGCTCGGAACAAAAAAAGAAAGAATGAAAAAATGGTATGTTTCAGTATGTATTTAGACAACATCAGTTCTTTCTCTGGAGGTAGATAGCATTTTTCATCATGAGTCCTTTAGGATTGTCTTGGATCATGACATTGCTGAGAATAGCTGTGTCATTGACAGTTATTCATCGTACAGTATTGCTTTTACTGTGTACAGTGTTCTCCTAGTTCTGCTTACTTCACTTTGTATCAGTTCATGTACATCTTCCCAGGTTTTTCTGAAATCATTCTGCTTATCATTTCTTAATGCACAATAATATTGCATTGCAGCCATATACCTTAGCTTGTTCAGCCATTGAATTGATGGATATCTCTTTAATTTCCCATTGTTTGCCATCACAAAAAAGAGCTGCTATTAATATTTTTGTACATATGGGTCCTTTTCTTTTTTGTGTGATCTCTTTGGGTTACAGACCTAGTAGTGATGTTGCTGAATCAAAGTGTATATACACGGTTTTATAGTCCTTTGGGCATAGTTCCAAATTATTTTCCAGAGTGGTAGGATCCTTTCACAAGTCCACCAACGATACATTAGTGTCCCAGTTTTCCCACATCCCTTCCAACATCCATCATTTTCTTTTTTTGTCATATTAGCCAATCTGATAGGTGACTGAACTGTACACTTGAATAAAACATTTCCAAAATTTTAATTGCTTACTCTGTGGTGAGGTCTTACCTCACAGATTTCATTCTGGGGAAAACAAAGATGTAATAAGCTGTCTTAGTAGTAGTAGTAGCAGCAGCAGCACCATTGTTCTGTCATGTAGAACTCCTTATGACTCCATGGACCATAGTATGCCTTCTATCCTCCACTACCTCTTGAAGTCTGTCCAAGTTCATGTTCCTTGTTTCCATGATACTATCTATCCATCTCATCTGCTGCTATCCCCTTTTCCTTTTGCCTTCAATGTTTTTCCATCATCCGGGTTTTTTCCAATGAGTCTTGTCTTCTTATGTGGCCAAAGTATTTAAGCTTCAGCTTCAGTATTTGACGTTCCCGTGAATATGCTGAACTAATTTCTTTAAGTGTTGCATAATTTGATCTCCTTGCTGTCCAAGGGAGTCTCAGAAATCTTTTCCAGAACCATAGTTTGACAGCCTCAGCTTTCCTTATAGTCCAACTCTTATAGCCATACATCACTACTGGAAAAAACATAGCTTTGACTATACAGACCTTTGTCTGCAAGGTGATGTGTCTGCTTTTTATTATGCTGTCAGATTTTCCATAGTTTTCCTTCTAAGGAGCAAGCATTTTTTAATTTCATGGCTGCAGTTGTCTTCTGCAGTGATCTTTGAGCCCAAGAATATAAAATCTGACATTGCTTCCATTTTTTCTCCCTCTATTTGCCAAGAAGTGATGGGATGAATTGCTGAGATCTTAGTTTTTTTGATGTTAAGCTTCAAGCTAGCTTTAACACTCTGCTCTTTCACCCTCATCAAAAAGCTTATTTCCTCTTCACTTTCTGCTATCAGAGTGGTATCATCTGCCTTTCTGAGATTGTTGTTATTTCTCTAGGCAACCTTAATTCCAGCTTTTGATTCATGTAGTCTGGCATTTCATGTGTTGTGGTCTACATATAAAATAAATAAATGAAGGGTGATATACAACCTTGTTGTACTCCTTTTCCAATCTTAAACCAACCAGTTCCATGTTCTGTTCTAATTGTTGCTTCCTGGCCCATATACAGGTTCCTCAAGAGACAAGTAATTTGATTTGGTATTCCCATCCCTTTGAGGACTTGTCACATTTTGTTGTGATCCACATAGTCAAAGGCTTTATTTAGTATAGTCAATAAAGCAGAAGTAGATGTTTTTCTGAAACTCCTTTGTTTTCTCCATAATCCAGTGAATGTTGGCAATTTGGTCTCTGGTTCTTCTGCCTCTTTGAAAATCAGCCTAATCTTCTGGTAATTCTCAGTTCATGTATGCTGAAGCCTAGCTTGGAGAATCTTAAGCATAACCTTGCTGGCATGTGAAATGATCTCAGTTGTTCAGTAATTTGAACATTCTTTGGCCTTGCCCTTGTTTAGGATTGGCATGTATACTGATCTTTTCCCATCCAGTGGCTGATGTTAAGTTTTCCAAATTTCCTGGCATACTGAGTACAGCACTTTAACAGCATCATCTTTTAGGGTTTTAAGTAGTTCAGCTGGAATTCCGTCACCTCCACCAACCTTGTTATCAGCAATGCCTCTTAAGGCCCATTTGACTTCACTCTCTAGGATGTCTGGCTCTAGATCAGTAACCACACTATTTTGGTTATTGGTGATGTTAAGATCTTTCTTGTATAGTTCTTTTGTATATTCTTGCCTCCTCTTCTTAAGCTCTTCTGCTTCTGTTAAATCCCTACCTTTTTGTCTTTTATCATGCCCATTTTTATATGATTTTTCCTTAACAACTCTAATTTTCTTGAAGAGACCTGTTATCCTTCCCATTTTCTTATTTCTTCAATTTCTCTGCATTGCTCATTCCCTATAACATTTAGCATTTCTTTTTACCTCTGCCTTCTAAAATCCTTAGCTTCCTTCAGGACTCACCTCACAAGTTACCACATGAAGGACCTTCCCTCCTCAAATTATCTTGTATTCACTCTGTAAATGTTTATCCTCTCAGTCAAAAGTAAACCACTTAAAGGAGGTACTGTTTTTAATTTTATCTTTTTATTTCCAGCACATACCTCAGCACCTTGTGTGTAGTAAGCACGTAATAAATGTATATGGGATTAGATTGGATCAGAGTTGGGTAGTACTTGAATAGGTACAGAGCACACCCGTGGGGTGTGAAGAATAACATTGCACTTTAATGTTATTTAGTTGCTCATGTAATCTTTTTTATTTCTAATCCCTAATTTCCTAGTTCATGAAGTATGAAAGGTGATGTTAGCAACTGAAGTATTTGCTTTAAATTTTCCTTCTCCTTTCTTTAGTGTGTCACCGGGAAAATCTTGTAGACGGGACATTTTGGTCCAACCATTATATTAAAGTGGGAAGTAGACTTGTAGCTGTACTTCCTCTCTGGCCTAGAAAAGGCTACATAACTTATTTGCTTCAGAAGTTTGAAGATTAATTAGTATTTTCTAAACACTTTAAAGTTTAAAAGTACTAGGAGGATTACAAAAAGTATGACATGTCAGAAAGATAACTACTTTAAGTCCCATCTTTGAAGTTTTAGGGACAGGTTAGATGAATGTAGCTAGATGAAGGACTTGATTGATATTTCAAAGCTAAACTTTGATAAAGATTTATTGATTGAGAATTAATCTTAAACCTAGAGGCAATTGCTAAACTATCATAGGATCTTAATCGGAATAACAGGAAGCACTAACATTCATTATCTTCCCTTTCAGATTTTATCTTTTCTTTTTATTTTTTCCACTTAAAATAGATAGCATTTATATAGCACTTTAAGGTTTGCTGAGTGCTTTACATGTATCATCTCCTTTGATCTTCACAACAATCCTATGAAATGGGTACTATCTTTAGTATCATTATACAGATAAGGAAACTCTCTGAGAGGGGTTGATTTGATTTGCCCTGGGTCACAGAATTAAGTAAATGTCTGAGACAGAATTTGAACTCAGGTCTTCCTAACTCCAAGTCCTGCACTTTATCCTCGGTGCCCCCCCACTATCTCTATTTGTCATCAAATGGACTCCCTCTTCCAAACCTCCCTTCATAAAGCTATAAGATTAATCTTCTTAAATATAATATTTCAATTTTATCACTTCTTAAAAATGTTCATTGGCTCCTCATTGTGTATGTAATAGATGTATTTACCCATAAGTTGGTGTTTTTCTATATTCTGCTTTTCCAGTCTTATTTCTCACTCTTCCTCTGTACTATAATTGAAGTGAATTGTTTTCTCTTTTCACATGTCCCTTGACCTTTTCTACCTCCCTACATTTGCTCATGTTCTCTTTTTCATCAAGAATGTCCTTCCGCTTCTACCTGTACATTTGTATCCTTTCAGGCCCAGCTCAAATGCTTCCTCTTTCTGGAAGCCTTTATTGGTGTTCCTTCCCACTCAAGCAAATTTGTAGTGTCAGGGTAAAATGGAAAGGCTTCTGGGTCAGGTGTTAGGAGACTTATGTTGGAATCCCAGCTCTGTTGTAGCCATATCTTTTCATTTTTATTCTTTCTCATTTGGTAATGATTTTGGTTTTTTGCTGTAACAGGTTATTGTTCTGACTGTACCACAGATGGCTGATTCAGAGATGACTGATCTGTCAGTAACCAGTAGTTTTCTGTCAAAATATGATCAGTTTCATTTTGGACGGTAATATTTGATGCTTACTTTGTCTAGTGCTTCCTTTCTTTCCCTGAAGTAGATATTCAGGGGTTACCAATCTTTTGACCCCTTTGATTTCTAATCCTAAACCAAGTTTCCAACGTATTTATCACTACTTTCTCACATCCTGTACTCACCTTTGTATTATTTTGTGATACTCACTGGGTATTAAAAGTGTATGTTAACTTGATTTGGAGATCTGATCAATTTCCTCGTAGAATTTCTCTGCCTTCCCATCTTCTGCAACAAATATTGCTATAAAGCTGTAATGATCTTTATGGTGGCATTTTTGCTTCTGCTCATTGTAAGCATTGCAATACCAGATGACCAAGTGACCTATGAAATATTGTTTCTTTTTGCCTTAGAGCACTCCATGAAATTAAATCCTCTGACTTTTTTACCTCTCCAAAGAGAATCTTTCCTTTGGCTGCAACTTTCTTTAACTTTCTGGTTTCATTTATTTAAAAAAAATTAACATACATTTCTTCCTTGTTAATTCATTGGTTATTGGAATAACTAATTCTAAATTGACGCTTAGAATATGAGTAGTCAAGTTAATGTTTCTGTGATCTAGGAACTGTGTGATTCTTAGTATCCTTTCCCTTCTCTACCATTATCTGAAGGCCACTTTTTATTTCTTGAATTTCCATAACCAAAGAATCTTTCATGTAATTACCGTTCTACTGATGATTAAATTCTCTGTACTTAATTAGATTTGGCTTTGCTTTGGATAGCAAACTTGGTATGTTACCCAGACCCCTAATCTTTAAAGACAATTGTTGTTTGGTTGTATTTTTTTTTTTTTAGTTGTGTCCAACTCTTTGTGACTCCATTTGCGGTTTTCTTGGCAAAGATACTGGAATGGTTTGCCATTTCCTTCTTCAGCCTTTTTTACAGATGAGGAAACCGAGGCAAACATGGTTAAGTGACTTGCCCAGGGTCATACAGCCAGTAAGTGTCTGAGGCCATATTTGAACTCATGAACATGAGTTTTCCCTACTCTAGTCCTGGCACTCTATCCACTGTGACATTTAGCTGCCTTCAGTCTTTAATGACAACCCTTATTTTAAGTGAACCCAATTGGAGAGTTTTGAACCTTGGGAATGGATACAGAGAGAATTGATTTATTTTGCTGTATTGAAAATTACTTAATTTCAGACTTGGCTGTAATATGTAGAGGGGCAAAATTGTGGCACAGTGGATAAGACATTAGATTCTGGAGTCAGGAAGACCAGAGTTCAACTCTAACCTAAGATACTTAGTAGCTATGTGATGCTGGGAAAGTCATTTAATCTCTCTGTGCCTGAGAATACTCAACTATAAAATGAGGGAATTGTATTTGATAGCCCATTAAGGTCTCTTCCACCTCTGAATCTGTGATCCAGTGTTAGATAGTCCTTGCTGGTTGTGTGATTTCAGTCTGCTTCTTTAGGACATTCTATATACCTGTAATGAAGGTGAAAGAAGAGAGCTAACATCTAGTAACAGTGACTGGACTTGTAGGATCTTTGAGAGCAAGAGGCTATCACTGTGATCTAAAAAATGGATCAATAGCAGGGGGAAGATTGGGACTTAGATGCTGCAGAGTTGAAAGTACAATGAATTACTACTGTAAATAATTAAACATAATTATAAAATGGAATGTTTTATGGGCAAGTCCATCATCTTTACCCCTTCGTCACCAAAAGATTGCAACTTGGTTTATTGGAGTTTTTCTCCCTAGGCAATATAACTTACATGGAACTTAATTGGAAAGTAGGATTTGTTTTATTTTGTCATTTATAGTCCCAGAGCCTAGCACATGGTATGGTACATAATAGGTTTTAATGTTTTTTGGTTGACATTTAACTTTGCTAGAACATGTGTCTCCTCTAAAACATATTATACCTACATGCATCTCCTAGAGTAGAGAAGCTTGATAAAATGAATTCCAAAGACAATAAAATTTTAGGAAAGGTAACATGAAATAGGAAGAAATTTAAGTTTATTTTGTTTGAGAAGAGACGTTTTCCTTGAGTGACTTTTCTTTTTCTCTTTTCTTTCCCCTTTTACTCTGTATGTGTGTGTGTGTGTATGTCTTTTAAATAGGTGAAAGACCAAAGAAACCACTTCCCATTCAGGATCAGACAGTTAGAGATGAAAAAGGAAGATACAAGCGGTTTCATGGAGCCTTTAGTGGTGGTTTCTCTGCTGGATACTTCAATACTGTTGGCTCAAAAGAGGGTAAGACCTTTCTCCTTGTGGATACAACTATGAGATCTTATATTTTAAGCCATGTCTATACTATGTAACATTTTTTAAAAAACACTTGTATTTTAAGTTCTTTTATTACTTCCATGGCAGTTTTAAAAATGTTCTTGAATGATAAGCATATCTCCAGAGGTAATCTATTTTGTTTTTTTCCTTTGTTTACAATTCATATTTGAAATGGCTTCATTTAAGGAGGCATGATAGGTTAGAAGAAGGAATGGAATATGTGGGTTTGACTCCTGGCTTTAACATTAATAATTCTGTGACTTTGAGTAAGTAACCTCTTTGGGCCTTAACTTTAGGCCTTAACTTGGGAAAATGGGAGCTTATGATGTTTGTAACATCTACCCTATGGGAATGTTTGTTATAAGGCAAATTTTTTGTAAGGTGATGCATAATTGTAAGTTATGTATTTAGATACATTTTCTTGGTAAAATTTTTAACTTATTTTTCAAGGATGGACGCCCTCTACCTTTATATCTTCAAGACAAAACAGAGCAGAAAAAGCTGTTCTTGGTCCAGAAGATTTTATGGATGAAGAGGTAGGTTTACAAAACTATAATTGCTAAGTAGCCTTAACTAAATGTGTACTCTGTGTTAGGTTCTTTATGGCTCACAATAATATACTCCCTCTTCAAGAGGTTTAAAGATAAATAAGGTAGTTTCTGTTGGTGTCTCTACTTTATGTGAGGCTCTACTTTATAGATGTATATGTTTATACTGCTGTGTATTTGAGTTTTTGTATTCCAAACTATTTTTAGTTCTTAAATTTCATCTTCAAACTTCACTGTTTTGTAGATCTCGAGTCTGCTTTATAGTACAATACCAAAAAGGAGTCTTTTTTTTTAAAGGATCTTAGTGAATTTGGGATTGCACCTAAGGCAATTGTTACCACCGATGATTTTGCCTCTAAAACCAAAGATAGAATTAGAGAAAAGGCCAGGCAGTTGGCTGCTGCTGCTGCACCTATTCCTGGAGCCACTGTACTAGATGACTTAATAGCACCAGCAAAGTGAGTAGAATTTTTCATTTAAAATTTACTTCTTGTTGTAGCACTTTTGCTTTTATAATTTTTTGTGTGTTGTCCATAGAATGTCTATGTTTAAGTCACCATGTAATATTTATTCCTTTTAGATTATCCATTGGTTTTGAATTGTTACGAAAAATGGGTTGGAAAGAAGGACAAGGAGTTGGTCCTCGAGTAAAGAGAAAGCCACGTAGGCAAAAACCTGGTGTGTATGTTTAATATTAAGTTCAAGCCTCCAGTGTGCTCAGATCAGCTTAATCACTTCAGAAGAGTTAGAGAAATAACTAATGAAGTTAAGGTTCTTTCCCTTTATCGTCTAGTTACTGTACTATGACCATAGACTAACCCTAAGGGTAACCATCCTTTTCGAAGTACCTGTCCTTGCTCATTGACACGATAGTCCTCTGTCTTGGATCACCTCCAATGACTCTCTCCTCCTGCCTTAGACCCACAGAATGTTGTTGGAGGAAGATAAAACCATGTAGAAGTGACTCGTTAGAAATTGATGCTTTTAGACTTCAGTCTGTCATCCACTGCTGCTCCTCAGTCCCTTTATTTCATCTTTTCTTGACAAACTTGCTGTCAAACTTCCCACATCAGTTACTTTTCTTTCTCTTTAAGTCCCTCATTTCTCTCATGCTCTTATTCTCAGGGGGTAACTGACTCCTTTACAGAGAACGATCGAGACCAGTCATCTTGAACTCCTTAGTCCTGTTCTTTGATTCATTGTATCTCTGGCCATATAGTTATTCCCTTGCTCTTTATCTCTAATTTGAGGGGATGAATCATTTTGTCTTCTTTCTAAAACTAATGCGCCTACCTATACCATGGATTCCAACTCTTTCTATCTCTTTTGGAATCTTAATCCTTTGCTATTCCTTTTGCCATGGAATATTTTTCTTCTGCCTTAAGAAATGCTTGGCTCTCCCTTAGCCTTGTTTTGAAAAATGATCTGGTTTTTCTACTTTCTTTTACTACCCCTTAGTTCAGTTTCCTGTATACTCATTCACTTTTGTTCAGTCATTTCAATGGTATCCCAACTCTTCATGACCCCATTTAGGGTTTTCTTGGCAAAGATATTGGAGTGGTTTGCTATTTCTTTCTCCAGCTCATTGTAAATGAGGAAACTGAGGCAAAGAGAGTTAAGTGACTTACCATGGGTACACAGTTAGTAAGTGTCTAAGGCCAGATTTGAACTCAGGTCTTCCTCATGACTCTAGGCCAGGCATTCTATCCATTGTGCCGCCTAGCTGCCCCACTTACTTAATTCCTGTAATTTGGCTCCTGCCTTAAGTATTCTACTGAAACTATTTTCTTAGAAGTTACCAGTGACCACCTTCCTGCCATATCCAATGCCTTTTTTTTCTTCTGATCTTTAATCTCTCTGTAGTATTTGATTATTGCAGCTATCTGCTTTATAAAACTTATCTTCCTTAGGACTACACTTGCCTGATTCTACCTTTATGAACATGCTGGCTCCCCTTCTTTTTGTCTCCTAATTTATTCAGTTTCTCATTGAGGTTAATTATCTATATCTTACATATGCTCTACTAGATTATAAATTCTTTGAAGCAAGGATTATGTCACGTTTCATCTTTATATCCCTAGGTCCTAGCCCCAGGCTTTGGATACATAAGAAATTTTTTAAATGTTTATTCAATTTTTTCTAATAGGGAGTGTATCTTAATTCCCTGTCGTGATCTTTCTGCTTTTATTTTATGAGAGGAATATGAAAAGATAGTTTCAACGGAGCAGTTGGTAGGACTTAATGACTGGAGGTGGGAAAAGGGGAAATAGGAATGAAGGATTCAATTCAGTGAATATTTAGTAAATTCCTGCTGTGTGCAGAGGTGTTTTTGAGTCTGGGCAACTGGGAAAATGGTAGTTTCTCATCTGTCCCATTCCATTCCTTTTACCACCTTACCTCAAATCTCTACCCTGCTTCTTAACTCATCCTGAACACTGCGACCATATTTATCTTCTGAAATATTGCTTTCTAATCACTTCTCTATTCAAGAATTAAAAGCTCTTACTATATCAAGTATAAACTTCTCTGCTGTACATTTAAGGCCTTCCATAATCAAGTCATATCTGTGTAGTCTTATTATCCACTTCATTTTCTTTTTGGTGAGGCAGTTGTGGTTAAGTGACTTGCCCAGGGTCATACAACTAGTAAGTGTCAGGCGTCTGAGGCCAGATTTGAACTCCTGACTCCAAGGCTGGAGCTCTATCCACTGCGCCACCTAGCTGCCCCTCATTATCCACTTCAATTAAACACAAAGCTTTTCCATTAGAGATAGACTTGTCTCCTCATTCCCTCTTAAATTGGTTATGGTTGTATCATGCAGTCTCTAGACTATAATTTACCACCTTTTCCTAGTCAAATTCTTTAAAAGCCAGCTCAAGTCCTACTTCTGTGAGGTCTTTTCTGACCATCATATCTACCTGGTTTTATCTTTTTTTTCAGAATTCCTTCAGTCGCTATTGCTGATTTTTAATTGATACATTTTGTTTTGACACAGTAGATATCTCCTCCCATACCCTCCCACTAACCTCCAACAAAGTATATTTCCTAAATGCAGTAAGACAAACCCTACCTAAAAGAGCGGTTGCAGTTTATAGTAACATGTCACATTTTGCTTTTGCCAGGTGCTATTTGTTAACAGAAAGAAAAGATGTGTACTTTGATTTTAATAATTTGGTTTGAGTGTTTTCCATTGTATTTGACCTGAGCCTTGTGGCCATTTAGTGTTGTTTCATTTACATTGTCACAGTTATTGTGAATATTGTTCTTTTTTTGATCATTTTTGGAGGCAGCTGAGGTTAAGTGACTTACCCAGGGTCACACAGCTAGTAAGTGTCTGAAGCTGGATCTGAACTGAGGTCCTCCTGACTGCAGGGCTAATGCTGTATTCTCTGTGCTACCTAGCTGCCTCTGCTTTATTTTTTTCTTACTCTGTGTCATTTTGTAAATCTATCCAAGTTTCCCTGAATAATTCATATTCATCATTCCATGCTACAAGTACTGCTCATTCGAAACTTAAGACCGGCTGCAATGAAGGGAAGGAAGAGCCCTACTAATTTCTAATTGTTTGATGTATGTTAGTTTTGTCTCTCTAATTAGGTTAGATGTTTCTCAAGGACTGAAACCAAATGTCTTAAACATTGCTTCTTCCATAGTACCTAGCAAATGGGCAAGGGATAGTTAGCTGGTCAGTAAATGCTTGACTGGAGGAATTTATCCTATACCACTGCTGCAGAAACTCTAGTGTGGTTTGGGATCATGGAAAGAGAGCACTTTCTCTGGATCCTTTACCTTTACCATTTCTTACCTAGTCCTAGTCGTTCTTGAGGGCCCGGGTCAATTTTTGTCTTTGTATGACCAGCACCTAGCATTGTACATAGCAGGTGCTTAATAAATATTAAGTGAATGAATGGCCGAGTCTGGAAGGAAACAGTTTCAAATCCCATATGACATTAACTTGCTTTGTGACCCAGGGGACTAAAGCACTTAATCTTTCTGAGCATAAGTGTCCTTATCTCTAAAGTGATGGAGATAATCCTTTGCATTTCCATCTGCTTGTCACTTAGGGCTGTCATAAAGGGAACACTTTGTAAATTAATTGTTGCTTCTTGTTCTGGTAACAAGCATTGAGGTATCTACAATCTTACCAGTCACATTACCCAAGTTATGTATGGACCTTCCCACCCCCCAAACCATACATAGTCTATTGTTGTATTCCCTATGTGTCTATTTTTTTTAATAAATATTTTATTGAAAATTTTTGCATTGTTTTCACTTCCCAGTGTTATCCTCCTCTTTAACAAAAGGGGGCTATCAGGCAAAATAAATCCCAACACAAGGACCATCTTTGAAAATGTGTACTTCATTCTGGCCTGTTGTCAGTCCTTTACCTGTTTACTGGAAAGAAGGCAACATGTTTCACTGTCAGTTTTCTGAAATTAAGATTGGTCACTGCTTTGGCCAGAGTCCTGATGTTTTTCAATGTTTTCCACTACATTATTGTGGTTACTTGTATAGATGGTTTTCTTGGTTCTGTTTACTGTGCTCTGCATCGGCTTATATATGCCTTCCTGAGGTTTTTTTCCCCCATATTTGTTGTTTCCTGTGGTAATATAATGTTCATATATCACAGTTCAGCCATCTTGCAGTCAATGGGCACCCACTTTGCTGCCCAATAAAATGGTGCTATAAATATTTTTGTGAATATGCCTGTCCCTCTTTTTGGGGGGCTATCATACATTTCCTACTTGGGTCTTTTTATTTTAATTATTGCTCATTTTACATTATTTTTATTGATGCAGTTTGTTTCTGTCACATTCAAATCCAAATGTATCTGTTCCCCCTACCTAGTGAGTCATCCCTTATAACATTAAAAAAGAGAGAAGAAAAAAATCAGTTCAGCAAAACTAATGAATGTATATTATGTCTGACAGTATATACAATATTCTGTACCCATAGTCTCCCACCTTTTCAGTGAGAGGAAGGAGGTGCATTTTCTCAACTCATCTCCAGAACCGAGTGTTATCATTATAATCCCAAATCATTCACTTTTTTGTTTTTTTCCATTTCCGTTTTACAGTCATGAATATTGTCTCCTTGATTCTGCATACTTTTCTCTGCATCAGTTAATATAAGTCTTTACATGCTTCTCTGAATTCCTTACAGTCACCATTTCATACACCCCCGTCATAGTCCAGAGCTTTGATGTGCCATGGTTTGTTTAGCCATTCTCCAGTCAGTGGATATCTGTTTTGTTTCTAGTTGTTTGTTACCACAAAAGTGCTGCTTTTAGTTTTTTTTGTTATGTATGGGATCTTTGTCTTTAATCTCCTTGAAGTATATACTCAATGCTTGTATTGCTGTTCAAAGTGTATCACATACCTTTTAGAAGAGTATTAATGATGAGTTCTTTTAAAAATGTGCTAAATAATGATTGACTGGAATGACTCAGCCTCTTTTAATGTTATGTGACTAATTATTTTCAAATGTCTTTTATAGTTCCTGGAGTAAAAATCTATGGTTGTGCTTTACCCCCTAATGGTTCTGAAGGATCAGAGGTATTGTGTAGGTTCATTAATATTCTGTTCTCATTGTAATTTTCAAGATAGAAATAGGATCCTTAGCATTTTTTTAAGTAACCACTTTAAAAATCTGTTTTCAGCCTGTCAAAAAAGATGTATTAAATGCACACTATATGCTTGTTATAATTATTTTATAGTAACATATTGGTTTTAAGTGACCTTATCTAACAACCTTAGCACTTTGGATCACAGCTGAGAGGCAGAAAATAAGAAAAATACATTGCTCTGTGACCTGAACAGAGGACAGAGTTCTTGCACTAAAGCTCATTCGTATGTTTTTTTTTTTAAGGCAATTTGGGGTTAAGTGACTTGCCCAGGGTCAGACAGCTAGTAAGTGTCAGGTGCTGAGGCCAGATTTGAATTCAGGTCCTCTTGACTTCAGGGCTGGTGCTCTATCCACTGCGCCACCTCACTGCCCTCCATGTGTTCTTTCAACACAGCTTTAAGTCCTTATTTTGTGCTGGGCACTATCTTCTGAAGGCTACAAAAAAGCCTTTGTCATCAAGGAGTTTATAGCCTAACATGGGAGATTAAAACATACAAACAGAAATTTCTGTCATACAAAGTAGTACGTGGTAGATGGGGAGTGCAGGGGGTAGGGATGCACCACTTCAAGCTGGGATGATCAGGAAAGGCATTATAAAAAATGTGGCATTTAATCTGGGCCTTAAAGTGTAGAAAGAGTTCCAATAAATAGGTAGAGTTGGGGGGTGGCAAAGAGATCAGCACAAGCAAAGGCATGGGATGGGAATGAACAATATATTTGGGAGAAGGTAAGCAGTATAGTTTGACCTTAATATAACTTTCATATACGAGAATGAAAAGAGAAGGCTAGAAAGCTTAATTAGGGCCATGTCAAAGAGTGTTGAATGCCAAGCTTAAAGTTTGAAATTTATACTGTAGGGAGGGAGCCATTCTTCAGCAGAATAGTGTTATATTTAAAATGATGATAGAGAAAGAGTAATTTGAGTAGTATTGTGCAAAATGAACAAGAGGGGAGAGAATCTAGTGATATCACAATTGTCCAATTAGAAAGTTCTTGCAGTTGTCTGGTCTGAAGTAATGAGAGTCTCATCTAGGTTGATAGCAGATTTGGGAGAATTCTGGAAGAAATAACAGACAGGTTGTAGTGATTAGATAGGAAAGGGAGTGGACTCTGAAAAAAAGGAAGCAAACAAAGATAACTAAGGTTTCAAGCTCAGATGGCCAGGAGAATTGTAGTGCCATTAAAACTTTAGGAAAGTCAGGAAGAGGAAGTGATTTGGAGTAGGGGGTGGATGGAATATAATAAAGTAGCTTATATATGTGGTGAGTTTAAGATGCTAGTAGGACATCCATGCAAAAAAGTCTAGCAGACATTTGGAAAAGTGAGACTAAGGCTGGGGCCAGAGATCAGAGCTGAAGACAAAGTAATTTATATTGAAGTTCTTAGGGTTTAGGCGAAAGCTCTGTGGTAGAATACAGAACAAGATAAGGAAAGTTTCAGTCTTGTGTTTCTAACACCTGAATATTTTTACCTAAATGTTCTCCTGTAACTTCAAATTTAACATTAAGAAGCACTAAATTTGCTCTCTCTTTTTCTTCCCTTAGCCAATTCCTGAGTTGACTGTTTCTCCCCTGTTTCTCTTAGTGGCATCACATTCACTTAGGCACCCAGTTTGAAACCTTGGAGTAATCTTCAAGTCCTTTCTCTTGTTTCATAACTAGTCAGTCACCGAGTTCTCTTGATTCTTCCTTTACAATCTCAATTAAATCTGTCTTTTCCTTTCCACTCCAAGTGCCTAGATCACCTGACATTTAGAATGCTATAATTGGTTTCACCTCTAGAGTCTTTCTAATCCATTCTGCACATCCCTGACACGTTAATGTTCTTGAGCTATTAAATGATGACTATAACTTGTGTCTCAGAACACTTTCTTATTAGTACTTAAGAATCTTGAGTACTAATTTTAGAATCAAATTTTAGAATCTTGAGTGAAGAGTGAGGGGTTAAGGGACCTGAAGCATCTAAGCTGACACCATCCAATTCCAACAGAGACACATATATAGGATATTAAAAATTTTCAATCAAATAATCCAGTTATTTCAAGCAGTTGAAAGTAGAGCAGAATTCCAATACATTAAACATTAAGATGGTTATTTCACATTCTCAAAAGGTAGTTAATTTACAACCTGATATACTAAATTAAGAGTATAAAATCCTTAAGAACAGGGTCTGTCATAGAGGCATCATAGTCAAGTAGAAGTAATCTTAGATGTGGAGCCTTTGTGAAACCTGGGTTCAAATCCTGGTTCTACATTTGACTGACTGTGTGACCGGGCAAATTACTTAACCCCTCTGAGCTTCACTGTCCTCATCTGTAAAGTGGGTGGGAATGCTTGTGTTACCTGTCTCACAGGACTAATAGGAAAATATTTTGTAAATCTTAAAGTGATGTATGTGTGTTGATGTCTTCATTAATGAGATAAAATTTGGAGTGAGTTAGGTTATCAATAATAATAATAATAATAGTTTCATATTCACAGTACTCTGCATCATAGTATGTACTTAGTGTTTACTGTTTGAAGCATGATTATATAGTCATTTGTCATAGATCTAATGTAGTCATTTAATAAAGCACTTAGAGTTTTTTAGAATCAATTATTATGTCTATAAATAATCTTAGGTTTGCTGTATATTGATGCACCTTATTTCTTTAAATATTTTTGCAGGAGGATGATGACGACTATCTGCCAGATAATGTGACCTTTGCACCCAAAGATATAACTCCAGTGGATTTCACTCCTAAAGACAACGTTCATGGACTTGCTTATAGGGGTCTAGATCCACAGAAAGCATTATTTGGAATTTCAGGGGAGCACTTTAATCTTTTCAGTGATGTATCTGAGGGGACCAGCAATCTTCTTGGAAGCATTAGACCAAATAAAGGAAGAAGACTTGGAATTTCGGGACAGGTTAAAGCATTACTAGTTTATAAATATTCAGTCATTGGAAATGAATATACTTTTCTTAATGTACTTAACATATATATGTTTACTGGAGATGACTGCTTCATTATACTTACTTTTGTTGAGAAATCTAATTTCACATTCAAAAAAAATTCAAAACAGAATTGACCTAATTCTCACTGTAATGTTTTTTTTTTGACATGTAGACATGTAAGTGAGATTTGTGAAATACCTTAAACAGACTTGTCTGTGATAGAAGAATGACTCTGTTGTCAAAGTCAAGACAAATTTGAATACGATTTAGTGGTTACTTTAACTTCCTCATTTATAAAATAAAAGACAGCCAGTATATTGGCTTACATTTCATACTAAAGGGAGGGGGACAAGTTGTTTCCTTTAAAGATAATCTGCCATTGCCAATCACAAGTCTTCTCAACCCTAGTTAGAGATTTTAACAAGATTTTGAGCAACCTATGTACTTGTCATGCTTTAGATAGTAGACAATTAATAAATGCTATGTTTATCATTTCTTGATTATTATTCTCTAGCTAGGTGGGTATTATTCTTGCACTCATCTTTTCTGTAATCTGTGTACTACTACAATTAGGAAGGCAAAGAATAGTTGTGCTGTGGTGGAATAGCAAAGCAGCAATGGCTGCCAGGAGTCACGCTAGAGGACACCAGATTCTTTTCATGTTGGTCTTGCCTGCAGCCAGCAGATACCATGTCTGGCAGGGAGAAACAGGGCTTGTATTCTAGGCTGGCTCATTATGCTGGGGCTGCTGAGCTTATGGTCCTTGAAGGGGCTTGGAGGGAAAGTCCAGTGAGACTTTTTTTATAGCATGGCAGTACAGCTTCAGGAGTTTGGGGTTCCTGGGTATATTTCCTTCTGTGTCTTTACTTATGTTCCTTTGTGTCATATGGAAGTTTTGTGTACTAAGCTGTGCTGTGAGCTACCCAGGGTCTTGGCCATAGTGGATACCAAAGTGGTGGTAGTGAATTGTGCCACAAAGTCAGTACCAGCTGCATCCTTCACAACACTCGAACCATTCCCTAGTTTCAGGTGTGCCTGGGTAAAGGGTTATAATCCATCACTTGATGGTGTGGAAGGGTCACAGTTAACCTGGAGTTCTGTTTCTTATACTCAAGATTGTCCTTGTGAAGGACAGGAAAAATGTCTTTCATTTAAACCTTTTTGGTTCCTCATCTCTTTAACTGTGCTGTACCTAACCTTGCATTGGAAGATTACTTTTCTGATTTTGATTAGTTCTGAGTTGAGAGTTCTAGCCTTCTGGCTCTACAGGTTACATATCTCCTCTTCTTCCTTTACCTTTGACAACTGGTCCATAGTTTGCTAGGAGTTTGGAGAGAGAGTGTGTGTGTGTGAGTGTGAGAGAGAGAGAGAGAAAGCAAGCAATTCAGTGGCTCCTATTTATGTCCCCACGATGTTTAAGTCCCTTATGTGGTAAAACAAGTGTAGTAAAGTATCTGCAATCAAATATTTAAAATTACATATCTTTCAATGTAGATGTGTCTCATACTTCTACTCATCCAACTTTAAATCTTTTTTCTTCTAAGGCTTTTGGTGTAGGTGCTTTGGAAGAAGAAGATGATGATATCTATGCAACAGAAGCATTATCTAAGTATGATACCATTTTGAAGGATGAGGAACCTGGGGATGGACTCTATGGTTGGACAGCACCCAAGCAGTATAAAAGCAGGACAGGTAATTTTTAAGAGATAACAGCTTTAGGGTAGATATTTAGTATCAAGGTAAGGAAAATGGTAATTATTTTATTAATTATAAATAAAAATGTAGTTTGGAAACCAAATATCAGGCTTGGGATTATAGGTGGTAGAGGGTGAGGAGCTGGAAGTAAAGGAACTAAGATGAGACTGGAAGAACTAAGGCAGAATAGGACAAAGACATGAGAAGGGCCAGGGCCTGGGGCAAGTGAATGCAGTGCATCCAGGAGATCTGGAATCAAGTGAGTAGCCTAAAACATGTATTGTCATGGAAGATCACTGGTTAGAACCAAGTACTTGAACAATAACTGGCATAAATAGACAAGGGAAATGTGGAGTAGAGATAAGTCACTAACAGCAAAAAGTACCTTAATATGGAGATGTTTAAAGCTCTTCTCTTTTAACAGATGCTCCCAAGGCCTCAGTTCCAGATTTTTTTACATGGTTCTTATTGAGGGGGAAAAAAAATCAGTTCTAGCATGGTTTATCCAGAATTTGTGAGAGAGAATAGTTGATTAGGAGTAGTTGTCAAAGAAAGAATAAGAAAGGGGAAAATAGGTTCTTGTAGGCAGATCTTAACACCTTCTGATTTGAGTCCAATGCCCTATTATCAGTTTTCTGCTTTCATCTCCAGGAGTTAGAGAACCCCAGGAACCAGAGAAGCCATGCCCATCATGGATTCTTAGAGCTGGGAGGAAACTTAGAAATCATTCAGTCAAACTTCTGCCTAATGCTTAAATTCCCTCTGCAAAATCACAAATAATCATCAAGTCCACTAGACTACCTTGTGGCAGGGAACCCCCTACTTCAAGAGGCAGCCCACTTTATTTTTAGACAGCTCTAACTTTTAGGAAATTCTCCCTTGTTTTTAGCTAAAAATCTACCTCCCTAAAACTTCAACCTGTTCGTTCTAGTTTTGTTCTTTAGAGTCACATATAATTAATTCCTCTTCCATTATAGTCCTTTTACTTTTTTGAACATGATTATTGTGGCCTCCCTAATTCTTCTCTTCTCTAGGTCAAATACCATAAGTTCTTTCAACTACTACAGAATTCACCCTCTTCCCTGTTTGGGAATATCAAACATTTCCTGGGTTTCTTTTCCTAGTGACATCTCCATTCTCTGAACCCATAGCACTTTACCACTTGTTTGACATTTAATCCTTGTTGGTTTTGTGATATCTTTTGTAAACATATAAAAAGCTAAAGAATTCTTCTTATTTCCCTAGTTAGATTAGTAGTATCTTTAGGGCATGGACTGTGTTCTACTCCATCATCATAATGCTGAGCACATAACAGGTGATCAGTGAGTTATTTCTTTTTCAGTTAGTGGTCTCAGAATCTATCTGGTAGTTTCTATACATGAACATCAGGGGGATGATTTTTATGGGAAATGCTGATAATGTGACAATGTCATATTAATTAGCTGTTAAAGATCTCAGGATATCCCTGTCAGAAATTGCAATATTCATAAATAATGCATGATTCCATATACACAGTTTAATTCTAACAAATGCCTTCTGATTCTTTTGAATGAACTTAGCTATCTTATGGAGGTTTTTGAAGTAATTTATAAAAAATAACAAGTTTGCATAGTTTTAAAATTTATGGTCTTAGCCACTAAATGGAAGGATATTTTCCAATAGGGCTTCTTAACCTATTTTGTGTCATGTAGTCCTTTGGCAGTCTAGTGAAGCCTGTGGCCCTCTTTTCAGAATAGTGTTTTTAATTGTACAAAACAAAGCACGTGGAATTACAAAGGAAACCAAAGGTTAGTGAAAATAAAGATTTTTTTCCCCACTTAAATTCATTTTTTCCCTAAAATCTATCCATAGACCTCTTTGGGATCCATGGACTCCAAGTTAAGAACCCTTATTTTAGAACGACTCATGTGAGTTTATATATACTTGGTATATATATGAATGTTTGAAATGTTTGTAGTACCTTTTAATCAAAGGGAGACAGTATGGTACAGTTTGGGGATCATTGGCTTGTGTCCCAATGTGGGTTCAAATTCACCCAAGTGACTTTGGGCAAGTCGTTTAATTTCTCTGGGCCTCATTTTTTTCATCTGAAGAATGAAGGAGTTTGATTAGATATCCCTTTAGGTCCTTTCTAACTCGAAATCTATGATTCTGTGAACCTTTTTGCTTATATTCACATATAGATGTTTGAAGTGTTTATAGTGCCTTCCAATCAAAGAATATAACTGATAGTTACCTGGCCCATTGTGTGTATTGTGTCTCCTGCTTGCGTTGCTTCCTTAATATGTTCATCTCTTCCTGTGCCAACTATCCCTTAGGTGTGACATTCAGCAGACACAGTGGTCTAAGTAAAATTGTCTAATGGCTTCGTACCTATAGTAGCCAATCACAGTAGCCTGGAGACCCTGAGATATCCTGATGAAGGTCTTCTCCAGTTTTGGATCTTCTCCCATGTGTCTCCTAGCAATACCAAGTGCTGTTACATAGTGACAGACAATTTCTAATTTTATTTTTTATGATTATTTGTTTCTATATTGCTCTTAGAAAAATAAAAATAAAAAGGTATACATTAAAAAAAATAACAATTCTGTCATTATCTTATTAGAGTTTCGTTTGAGAAGATAAAACTACCTTTTATTCTTTCCTGTGATTAGCCTGTGGGAGGTTTTGGTTTTATTACACTGTCTTTGGATAGTTGTTAGGAAACTCCGAGGGTAGTCCAAATGTTTTTATTTTTTTAAACCTGTTTTTAGTATGGACTGTCTCAAAGTGATAATTGCTCTTTTTTTTTTTAAATTAACTCTTGTGCTCTTGATTGCAGAGATCTCTTACTCAAAGCATATTTTTAGATGCTTATTTATTTATAGAACCTAATATTTTATGAACCAGATATTTTAAGTTTTAAGACATCATTGTTTTGGTTGACCTTTCAGCTATGTAGAAACATAGACCTAGGTCCTGAATAGTGTACTTAAGTTAGGGTGGTGTAGGGTTGTGCCGCCCAGGCACTGAGTCAACAAAGGTGTGAGGGATGGATTTATGCTCTACTTCTTTTGTAACTTTCATTATTATACAAATCTTTGTCTTGTTTTTAAATGATGCATAATTTTGATAAAAGGTATACTATTGTAAACAGTACAGTATATCTCTAAAATTAATAACATTCACTTTGCAGGATCAGAAAAAGATACCCAGTATGTTGGCAAAATTTTGGATGGGTTTTCCCTGGCATCTAAACCTTTATCTTCTAAGGAAGTAAGTAAAAAATTTTTTTCTTATTAGTTTTGCTTTTAAAAATTGTTCTGATATAGACCAAGGGTTGGCAAACTACAGCTCACAGGCAAAGGCCTGCTGCTTCTTTTTGTAAGGCTGCCTATTTTTGTAATGCTGAGTGAGGTAAGAATGGTTTTTACGTTTTAAAATACAGTAAATCATTTTTGACTTTAAATACCATAAAACTGTTGAAAAGTGTTAAAACCAGTTTTAGCCCTCAGAGCCCTGCTTTAGAATGTAAGGGAAGATTGTTAGAAAAACAGTTGGAAAAATCCTCAAATCCCTTCACATTTTTGGAAAATAGTAGATTCAAATTTAAGTTTATAGTAAATCAATGAGTCATTAATAGAAATCCTAAATATTTTGAAATGTTACTTATTTTGGTTGCTTTTTTCTATTGCAAGAAAAGGGATGGGGGCAGGATCGGTGATTTCATTGATATGAGTAACTCCAAGTGACTAATTTATAGTCTTAGGGAGTTTCCTAGTACGTCAAGAAGTTGAATGATTTCCCAAAGGTCACATGGCAAGTAGATGTCAGAGGTAGGATGCAGCCCAAGACCCAGTCTCTACTATGTCTTGATAATGCCTTTCATTCAAAGAGAAATATTTTAGAAATAAACCAGAACTTCATTTTGATTTAATTTTAGGAACCTAATAATAATAATAATAATAATAACTGACATATTTCATGTGACCCTCACAAAACCCGAAGGTCCATCTTATAGGTATTATCTCCATTTTACAGATAAAGAAAGTGAGTTTCAGAGGAGTGAAGGGACTTGTCCATTGTTATAGCAGGAAGTGAAAAGGGCCATGCTCAAACCCAGAGATTCCCAGTATCCTCCCAGTCATGAAGCAAGCAAGGAATCTGAAGAAAAGGAATTCTGGTTCACTTCCTGGCCAATCCTAACCAAGACTGTTCTCTTAGCTTTTAAATTTACAGCCTATTCCTTTATTATTTCAAGTGGGTAGACAAGTGAGTTAGCCTTAGTCAAATGCTTTGTCTTGCTAGTAGGTGAATGGAGTGTGAAGTCTTAGAGAATGGTGTAAAATACGTTGTAAAATATAGTTTGGCAGTCAGAAATGAAAGAACCTAACGGTTGTGGATTGCTGTATATCATAGATACTTTCAAGAAGTGATTTTGAAGGTGCTGGACAGGGCAAATGCCAATGACATTCCCCCCAGAATGAAATTGACTCTTTTTTTAAAATTTTAAATTAATTTATTTTGAATTATCAACAATCACTTCCATAAGCTTTTGAGTTTTAAATTTTTCTCCCTCTTCCTCCCCACCTCCCTCCCTAAGATGGCATGCAATCTGATATAGGCTATACATTAGTCATGTTGTAGGTAAGAATTAGAACCAATAGGAGGAACCACCAGAAAGAGGAAACAAAACACAACAGAAGAAAAAAAAATAGCAAATAGTGTGCTTTGATGTGCATTCAAACTCCATAGTTCTTTCTTTGGATGTGGATAGCATTTTCCAGCATGAGGCCTTTGGAGATGTCTTAGATCCTTGTATTGCTGAAGAAGGGTTAAGTCTATCAATATTAGTCATCGCACAACGTGGCTGTTACTGTGTACAGCTTTCTCCTGGTTCTGCTCATTTCATTCAGCATGAGATCATACAAGTCTTTCCAGGTTTTTCTGAAGTCAGCCTTTTCATCGTTTCTTATAGCACCATAGTATTCCATTACATTCATATACCACAACTTGCTCAGCCATTCCCCAATTGATGGGCATCCCCTCAATTTCCAATTCTTTGCCACCACAAAAAGAGCTGCTATAAATATTTTTGTACATGTGGGTCCTTTTCCCATTTGTATGATCTCTCTGGGATATAGCCCTAAAAGTACTATTGCTGGGTCAAAGGGTGAAATTGATTCTTAAAAAAATGTTTTAGTGATTCATATTGTCTATAACAGCAGTCACTTTGTCACTTTCTCCATAATTCCCTTTCTTATATAACCAAAAAGGACAAAAGTAGTTAAAACCATTTAATATAGCAATTGTTATTGATCCAGCATGTATCATCTTATACCCAAAGTCCAAAATTCTGTAGATAAAAGTAGAAAATCAAGGAGTTCACATTCTAGTAAGGAAATACTATACATATGGGAAGGTTCAGCTTCAGGTTAGATGGAAATGCCCATTGGTCTGTTTTCTTGAGTGTCATTTCCATTGATGAAAGTCATTATCCTCTCATATTGAACCTTTTCATCGTGCCAGTGACTTCTTTCTTTCCTCAGTCTGGAGTAGCTATGGCCCCCGGGAAAAGGAAGGTCTGTAGCACTTGCAGAGGCATCTGACAGCTTGCATAACCACAAGAGTTGCCCACTCTGGGTGACATCTGTAGGAGCCAGGCTGGAAGAAAAGTGGGTAGTCAGGGAGCCATTGCTAGTCCTGGGGCTCTTGTGTCCAGAGTCCTGAGCTGATTCCTCCAGAGTCTAAGGAGAGGTGGTAGTTGAGGTAACAGCAATGGTTTGGCTCACCTGGTACATATAACCTCTAGTTTTTTCTATCGGAGAATCTTGCTGTTTGTACTAGGAGGGAAGTTATGTTCCATTATTCATCTGGAACCACTGCTGATTATCTCGTTTATTTAAGTTCATGATACTACATGGTTCTCCTTCCTCTGTGATCATTTCTTCTCAGTCTCTTTTGCTCATTCATCATCCATGCCATTCCTGCTAATTGTGGGTATACGCTGAGGCTCTGATTTGCTCTGTTTTCTTGTCCCTATATTTCCTCACTTTATGATCTTATCAGCTTCCATGGGTTTAATTATCATCTGTATGCCATTGCCTCTTAGATCTATATATCTCTCCCTAAACTCTTTCTGAGTTCTGGTCTTGCATCATCATCATCTTCCTATTAGACACTTTAAATGGGATGTCTATAGGCAGCTCAAACTCAGCATCTCACATATAGAATTCATTATCTTTTTCCCTCAACCCACCTCTCTTCCAAACTTCCATATTACCATTGAGGGTACCACTATCCTAGCCACCCAACTTTAGAACCATCTTCACTCACTATACCTTCCCTGTCAGTTGCCCAATCTTGTCATTTCTACCTCTGCCACATCTCTTAGATATGTCACTCTACTTCCACTTATATTATAACTTCCACCCTGCTTCAGGTCCTCATCGCCTCTCACGTGGACTATTGTGGTAGTCTGCTATTTGATATTCCAACTTTAAGCCTCTCTCACCACTCTAATCTATTCTTACATTGTTGCCAAAGTGATTTTCCTAAGGTGAAAGTCTGACCACATCAGCTTCTTATTCAATAAAGTCCAATGATTTTCTGTTATCTGTAGGATCAGCTATAGACTTCCCAAAGCAAAGCACCCTTCCCTGGCCAGCACTTCCTTATATGTGTTGTCTCCTCCTATAATGTAAACATCTCAAGGTCTTTTGTATTTTTACCCCTAGCACTTAGTATACTTTTTCACACATAGTAAACTCTTAATAAATGCTTTTTATTCATGTTTATTATTCAAGTCAGCAGTTAGGCTTTCCTGTGGGTGATAATAGATCGCATTTCTAGTTCATAAGAAAAACAGAACTTCTCCATGTAATGAAAGAGAAAATGAATGGAAAGAACTGATTTAAATCATATAGAAGAAATGTTGAGTGGTTTGTGAGTTTAGGTAAATTTTTCTGGTGAATGGAATTGGACAGAAGGTAGGTGAAACATTGATTAAATTTAGTGGACTTTAATAATTCAATGGATTTGTTATTCATTTGTGTGGATATTTGTTGGTTACTAGAACAAAGGAATTATGAAGATAACTTGAATTGAAATAGCCCTCAGAGATCATCTGGTTCAATCCCCTAGATGAAGCATGAATCAAATCCGCTTTACAACTTCCCTGATAAATGATCTTTGGACTTCTGCATGAAGACCTCCAGTAGTAGGGTCTCAATACCTCTTAAGGTCAGCTTCAGATGTCTTCTTTACTCTCCCTGCTTACAGTTCAAATAGCACACATCTTTTTTTTTTTTTACTCACATGGAAAATATTCTGGCTTTCACTGTAGTAACAAGCTTAGAAATATTGGCAGCACTGCGCAGTTTCTCTAATGCAGTCCAGCTTGACCTCCTCCCCTATAATTCTGAGACCAGCATATTGTCATTCTTTTGCACTCATCCAGGAAGGTAATCAGTCAACAACAAAGCAGTCCCTGTCCTCAAGGAGATCACCTTGTGTTTAAAGAAACAACATGTATATGTAACTTGTGGCTCAGGACTGCCCAAATACTTTAGGTTCACATGGACCTAGGAGATTGATTCCAAAGGCTTGATTTTTCTTCCTTTGGATTGTTGCCCCTATCTTGGATTACTCTAGAAAAGCCTCTAAAATAAAATTTAGGTAAGGGCAGGTAGGTGGCATCATGGATATAATGCTGCATTTTGAGTCATGAAGAACTGAGTTGAAATCTGCTCAAGACACTTCCTAAATGTGTGACCCTGGACGAGTAACCTCTCTTGGCCTTAGTTTCATGATCTATAAAATGGGGGCAATAATAACACCTATCCTGTAGGGCTATTGTGAGGCTCAAATGAGGTAACATTTGTAAGGTTCTTTGAAACATTAAAGTACTACGTAAATTCTAGTTGTTAACTTTGTTGACGATGGTGATGGTGTTGGTGGTGATAATGATGATTATTATGGCATAGTTTGTGTTTATGGCATGACCTAAACAGGGTCCCTAAATCCTGTATAGGCACTCATTGTACAGTATGGTTATTGGTTATGGGACAGTCTTTATTTCACCCCATAGACCCTAAGGTCTCGCCAGAGCCTTTGAACAAATAAGAAATGTAAAACACTGACAGACTCCATTGACTTCATCCGCTCCTAACTTTCTTCACGTCCAAAAGGGAACTGAACTTGGAGTTGCTGTTAGGACAATCCTTTGTTGTTCCAGGGAGTCCTTCTTTCTTGCAGAGTCCTACATAGTCTGGTCAAGACTCTTAGTCCTGTGGTTGAGATTCTCCCCAAAAGGTAAACATTTTTGAAACTTGCTGAGCAGCTCCTTTTTTTTTTTTTAAAGGCAATTGGGGTTAAGTGACTTGCCCAGGGTCACACAGCTAGTAAATATCAAGTGTTTGGTCTGAGGCTGGATTTGAACTCAGGTCCTCCTGACTTCAGGGCTGATGCTCTATCCATTGCGCCATGTAGTTGCCCCACAAGCAGCTCTTTTTGACTGAATTTTCCTTGTTCAAGTAATTAATTAGTTTTGCTCTGTAAGTCGAGCCCTGGGTAAGAGCCAAATGGGTTGTCTTCTTCTTTCTCCAAAGATTATGTTGTATCAGGAATTCTCTCTAGAAAGTCTAGCTTCCTAACTGTCAAGCTCAGAAAATATTGAACTGAGGGTTACTGAGTGCATCTGCCCTTCTCTTTTAGAAGGCTAGATGCTGATATCATGCTGCTTAGGAAATTCAAAATACCTACCCCTCCACATGGGTGGTTGGGGATCAGGAACATTGTCCTTGAATTCCCTTTTCATTTGTGTTGGAGAAAGCATGTAGTAGGGAATGAGAAAGCCTCTGCTCCTCTACTGCATTCCAGAAGAATATCCAAGAACAAATCCTTAAAGATTCCAGGATCCCTATATGTATTCATGATCTAACTCAGTGTGTTGTCTGTCTAGCTCTGTTTAATAACTTAGATAATATGCATTTTTCCTACACTTTATTTTTCTACTAGGGGAAGGGAATAAGCATTTATATGGTACCTACTCTGTGGCAGATACTGTGTTAAGTACTTTTACAAATATTATCTTATTTGATTCCCGCAACAACTGTGGGAGGTAGGTGTTATTAACCCCATTTTACAGTTGAGGAAACTGAGACAAACTGAGGTTAAGTGATTTGCCCAGGATCACACAGCTAGTAAGTGTTTGAGGCCAAATTTGAACTCAGGTTTTCCTGACTCCATGCACAGAGCTCCATCCACAGTGCCACAGCTGCCTCTATGGATCATTTAACTGAACTCTTTCAAGTTTTTATAGCTTTCAGCGAGACAGCTTTGCAGTGGTCCCAGGATTTATGCAACCCATAGGGCTAATACATTTTATATAGAACATGCATTCCAGCAATGTATTGAGTAGTGATTAGGGAGTAATAAAAACTGAAAGGTTAGGAATAGTTGAGTTGTCTGTGGTTCTTTAACAAATGCTTTCATTTTTATAAGCATAGTAGTTCTTGTAACTAGTATTAGTCTGTAGATTTGTGATTTGTGATTATAGTTTTAAAAGTTAAATGTAATATGTTCATATTTATGCTAACTATATGGGATGAAAGCTGGCATGTAAAGGGTGTTTTTTTTGTTTGTTTGATTTTACAACATATATTTTCTGTTTATTTTTAAAGATTTACCCACCACCTGAATTGCCAAAGGATTACAGACCAGTCCATTATTTCAGACCTGTGGTAACTGCAACTTCAGAAAATTCTCATTTATGTCAAGCACTATCAGAATCAACTGGGAAAATATTAAGTGATATGTCAAAACAAAGCAGATATCAGTTAAATGCCTCTAAGAGGGGAGAAATGCTTGGAGAAACTCCCATTCAGGGTATGTAAAGCAAAACCATTTCAGTGAACATCGTGTAACTTATTTAAGTAGATTCTTTTTCACCCGTTGAATATTTAGACATAATTTTCTATTTGTAATATGTTAAAATAAAAGTATTTTTTTAGTAACATTCTTAGGCCATATATCTGAACTGCCTACCAAATAACCAAACTAAATATACAGCTAATAAAGATAATATATTTATATTCCTTTACTTAATGATAGTTTGTTGACTTTACCACCGTCCATCTTTTTGCTCAGACTTATACTACTCATCATAAGCAGATTTTTCAGGACAGTTCTTAATTATCTAAAAATTACTAGTAATTGAGAAAGAAGGTAATATCATTTTTCCTTACTCCATTTGCTTAAATTGAAAACAACATTTCTAAGACTGAAAAGTCTCAGAAGGGTAGTCCAGAACCTGGTTTTATGGTATTCCTGATTCGATGTTGGGGAATATTGTATAGATTATGATACAAAGATCTACTTTGGAATATTATCTTGTGCCTGTGATGTAGGTTTTGTCGTTGATGTAAGCTGATGAGTTGTAGCGTGTGTCATGGAGGCATATTGAAGTACTGGCCAGGCAAGTGTGGGACATCATTGACTAGGTGTAAGATGATCTAAAGGTTCCATTTTCTGTTATTAACTTGTTTAATGAGCATCGATTTACTTAACTGCAGTTGTTTGCCATCTCTAAAATTTGAATGTCAGCGCCTGAAATGTATATCATTCACATTAGACAATATACATGAAAGGCTTTAATTTCCTTAAATAATTTGAATTTAATATATAAAACTGATTAATTTTAAGGTATTAAAAGTGCACAGTAAAGCTTAGAAAGGCACAAACATTTGATACTTCTCATCTCTTATTATTTTTATTTAGATTCAACAACATCTATTTTAGAATTTCTATCCCAGAAAGATAAAGAACGAATAAATGAAATGAAACGGGCAACTGAAATTAAAGCAGCTGAAATAAAGGGAAAGGCTTTGGTACCAAAAGCTTGGAATAGCAGATTTCAGCCAGATTCTCCAGATGATTCTCCATACACACAGCAGATGGTATTGAGTGGGGATGTAACTGCAGGAAGATCCAGTGATTTCAGACCTTTTGCAAAAGATCCAGAAAAACAAAAACGATATGAAAAGTACTTAGGCAATATTAAAAAAGGGCAGAAAGGTAATCAGGAAATCTTATTTTACTGTACCTTTTTTAGTCATTCTAGGCTGCTGGGTTGGTGGTGAATTTTTATGATTAAATAGAAAAATCTTATTCTTTTATTCTAGGGGTGCTGAGTTCTCTTTATCTTTGAGGCAAGTTTAACTTGGGCGTCCATATCTTGGATCCCTCAAGCCCTTATGGAATCCTAATGTTGTAGCTAAGAGCTGGACTCATGGAAGGGGGACCTGGAATGCAGTTAAAAAGAAACAGACTTGGAAAAAAACCCATGGAGTTGGGAAGCATTGATAGAGCAAGAGAGATGGAGCAGTGATATTGATTAATTATCCAAATTCAAGAGAGAGGGGCAACTTTTAAAAATTGATGAAAATGATTTAAACATCACTTTTCATCTTCTTTGAGTGCATGTGTCCCAGTAATTGATTATGTATAGACCACCAGTGAATATGGGTCGTTTTTGCTCTTTGAGTACCTTCAAATATGTTAGAAATGAAAGGTGAAATTGTTTCACAGATTTCTTTGCTACCTTGTTGCACAAAAGACATTAACTATTAATCCGTTTATTCAAAAGCCATGAGTTTAACTGTAATAAAATATTTTTACTATGTCAAAGAGGCCAATGGGCTGAAAAGTCAGATGGCTGTGTTTGGGTTTCTAAGGATTCTAATTTAAAAAAAAATTCTAAACATTTAATAGTGGTGACCATTTTTTAAAAAACATTTTTAATGAATATTTTCCTTAGCAAACATAGCAGAATTAACTGATTGATATGGTGAGGGAGAAAGCAGTACTGTTTTACTTTCCTTAGGTTAATCTAAAGTTAGAGTTTTTTTGTCTTTGAAGTACTTTCTTACGCTAATCTGAAGTTAGAACTTTTTTTAACATTGCTGTGATAAAGATTTTATGTTTAATTAGAAAGATCAAGAATGTACAGTTTGATTTTTTCCATTGACACATAAATTAGCTCAAATATTAGCTGATCATCTTATGCACGAAATATTTTCATTAAGACCCTTTTTTTATTTAGTGAAGTTTGGACTCAGTCAAAGGGTTGCACTTGAGGACCCTAGAAGTTCACATGTGGCCTCAAGTCTGCAGGTTACCCACCTCTGGTATACAGATTACTTTCCTGCTTCTTCTTAACCTCATTTTGCATCAGTTTATATAAATTTTCCCATCTGTTATATTTGCCATGTCTCTTAGCACAGTAATATTTCACTGTATTCTTACGCTACAACTTGGTTAACCATTGCCTGATCAGTGGACATTGGCTTGGTTTCTAGTTCTTTGCCAGTGTAAAAAGTGCTGCTGTAAACAGTTTGGTGCATGTGGAAGGCCCTTTATTTTTTATGATGAAATTATTTCTTCTGTCTTATACGATAGATGCTTTGGAAAGTTGTTTAGATCCCAGGATGACTGAATGGGAACGAGGACGAGAACGGGATGAATTTGTGCGAGCAGCTGTGCTGTACAGGCCCTCCAGTTCATCACTGTCCTCCAGATTTACTCATGCCAAACAGGAAGATGACACAGACCAAGTAGAAGTTCCTCGAGACCAAGAGGTTTGCCATCACGATCTTATGCATTGTCAATTTTTAATTTACAAAATACTAGGAAAATATTTTAAATCTTGTAATACAAGTAATATGGCAGTGTGATGTAGTGGATAAAGGGCTGGTGTTGGAGTGAGGAAGGCCTGAGTTCTAGTCCTACCTCTGACACGCTAGCTGTATGACCTAAGGCAAGTTACTTAACCTTTCAGTTCTCTGGGCACCTTTCTTTTTAGTTGTTGTTTTAAAAAGAAATTTGTGTATTTTTGTTATGTGCATTTGTAAATATCCCTCTTGCCGTTCATTCCTCCTACCAATCAGAAACAAACAACAAAAAACACCCTGAAAAATAAAACTATCATAAACATTCAGAGTTCAGCAAAACAGATTCCTACAGTGGTTCCCCCCACCCCCGCCCCCAGGCAAATGTTTGTGTCTTTCTATATTTTAAATCCATCATCTCTCTGGCAGGAGGTAAGTAACTTGCTTCATCGTTAGTTATTTGGACTATTGGTTAATCATTGCTTTAATCAGAGTTCTAAAGTCTTTCAGAGTTGTTTTTCTTTATAATGTCATATATAAATTATTCTCCTAGTTCTGGCCCCATTATTCTGTATCACTTCATAGAAGTCTCTTGACATTTTCCTTTGAAGTTGTCCATTTTGTCATTTTTTATGGTGCAATAGTAATCTATTATATTCACATGCCATAATTTTTTTGGCCATTTTCCAAATGGAGAGCAACCTCTTGGTTTCTAGTTTTTGGCGTCTATGAAAAGAGCTTTGATATAGGTCACTTTCCTCTTTGATCCATTGGGGCAAAAGCCTTGTAGTAATAGAGCTGAGTCAGTGATATGTACAGTTTGCATCTTTTGGGGCATAGTTCTAAATTGTTTTCCAAAATCACTGGAATGACGATTCACAGTTCCACCAAGAATGTATTAGTGTGCCAGTTTTCTTGCAGCCCCTTCAGCATTTGTCATTTTCTTCTTTTGTCATTGTTGTTAGTCTGAGGGAGATGAGATCTAGGCAACTCTAGAAGACTCTGTGTTACAAATGAGTTAAGGGTTCCTGGTTCCCGGCTGAGGATACTGAAACTGTTAGATGTCATAAAGTGAAATGGTATATCATCAAATGCTTTATAGAAATGTAAAAGATCTGTTTTATTTAAATAGATTTCTCAAAAGAGTCCTTCCTCTTTTTGTTTTCAGTTGATTAGATTAGGTTTTTACAGTCATTCAATCAGTTGTCTTCAGTTGATCAGATGAGGTTTTTAGGGGCAGCTAGGTGGTGCAGTGGATAGAGCACTGGCCCTGGATTTAGGAGAACTTGAGTTCAAATCTGGCCGCAGACACATAACACTTATTAGCTGTGTGACCCTGGGCAAGTCACTTAACCCCATAGCCTAACAAAAACAGATTAGTTTTTTATACAGTTATTCAATCAGTTAACAAGTGTTAAATGCCTCCTTGTTTTGGATACGTTGAAGTACAAACCAAATATATAAAAGATTAATATGAGGCAGTTGTGGGAGGAAAGGGCAATAGTGGCTAGGGGGATTAGAAAAGACTTCGTGTAGAAGATGGTATATGAGCTGAGTTTTGAAGCAAACCAAGGATTTGAAGAGGCAGTGGTGAAGAGGGGGAATATTCCGGGTGGGGGAGACAGCACAAAGGCAGAGAGACAATAAAACACTTGGATTTTTACAGAATGATGTTAATGACAAACTGTCTGCTGTGAAGATGAAGATGTTTGGAAAGCTCACAAGAGATAAATTTGAGTGGCACCCTGAAAAATTGCTTTGTAAAAGATTCAACATCCCTGATCCTTACCCAGCGTAAGTTGATATGTAAGGTTATGATAGTAAGGTTAAAGGCAGATTTTTCCATCAGCATAGATTTTTTCATATCACCAAAGTAAGGATAACTTTTGTCTTTATATTTAAATGTTTATAAACCTGTAACTACCTGTTACTACTAGTCTTAGAGATTAAAGAATTTTCACTATTATCTATAAATCCTTTAACATCATCTGTTATACTTTTTATGCAGTTTAAATTGAATGTTATTTACATGCTTTTATCATCCCCCAGCAATGCAGTCCTTTGCATTTAGTTACAGACATTGCAAGAAAGGGTGTACAGTTAAACCAAAACTTATCATATATGTGTAGTAAGTTTCACTGGTAATGGCTTTAATACTTAAATATAGACATTTTTGATTAGGAAATACTCCTTTTAAAATTAATTTTAATTTTTATTTCGAAGTTAATGAACACTTACATTTGCATACATATAGTAGAATTAAAAAAAGGATTGTACGTGAAACTTCAGATTTCTGTTATGTACAGTTTTTTTTTCTTTTAAATATGTAATAAGATTAACTTGTAGTTTCAAGCTGCCCTGCTTCTGGAAAATAGTCCTCATGTGCTTTACAAATGAATATTTTAAAAATTCAATTAAAAATGGTTAAAAATGGTTCTTTAAAATATAGAAGTACTTTAATACAGATCTTTGTAGGGCCTTTTAGGACAAAATGAAAAGAATTGACATTATTTATGGATAATTTATTTGAAAGTTGTGTTAATTAAAATTCATGTTTTTTTCCTTCTAGTTCAACTATAGTTGGATTACCAAAAGTTAAACATGATAAGTATTCAGTATTTAACTTTTTAACAATAGCTGAGCCCACAACATTAACTACAACTCAAGTATCAAATGAAAGGGCGCAACAGAATCACAGTCGCAACAGTGAGTAGGACGTCATTTGATTAATATAATAATAAATAGTATCTCAATATGTGGCCAATTATGGAATCTTAAGCAAATGATATTCATTAAAAAAGGAATTTGCTTGCAAACTTCATTAGAATTACCCAGAAATTTATAAACCAGCTTTTGTATAATAATGAATACAGAGCAATATGTGATCTGTATGATGGAAAAGTTCATTTGTATAGCTATATTATTGTTGGTGTCAATTTTTAGAACCAAGAAAGCCATCCAGGTGGGATATACCTGACCAAGAACAGAAGAAAGAAGATTGTATTAGTGAGTTTCTAAGTATGGCTAGATCCAAAGCTGAAATTCAGAAACAGCAACTGAGGCCATTGGTAAATAATGCTGAAGGGAGTGCAGTGGAATCATCTTCAGCTAAGGTATACATGAGACTGCTGTTTTTGTCATGTTCTCATATTTGTGCTGAGACCATTATTTTTCTCCATTACAACGCTTTCTGTACTTGTTAGTTACTCTTTAGAGTCCTAGAATCTCAGCAGTATTTTTTAACAGTGTTAGAAAAATGATTTATATTGATCTTCATGTACCTGAGTGGTACTACGTGTATGTACTCTGCCTGTATTAACCATTGACACAAAATTATTGACTCAGATTTTCAACTCACCATTTCTCATTATTCCCTCCTTCTATAGAAGAAACTTTTCTTCTAGTCTGTTATGTTTACAACCTAGGTTATATTCTTTTTTTTTAGTTAACATTTTTTCAGTTAACAAGCATTTATTGTCTACATCTCTGCCTCCTTTATTCCCCCAGAGAAAGAAAAAGGGAAGAAATCCTTCTGATAAATATACATAGTCAAGCAAAACAAATTTCCATATTAGCTATGTCCAAAAATGGTATCTCATTCTGCATTTTGAATCCCTCTTCTTTCTGTCAGCATGTATGGGTGGTGGTCTACTTCCTTGTGCCTCAGGAATCTTGGCTGGTCATTGCATTGATTGGAGTTTTTTAAGTCTTTCAGAGGTGTTTGTTTTTACATTGCTATATTTATTTTATAAATTCTTCTCCTAATTCTGTTCTCTTTACTGTGCATCAATTCATACGTATCTTTCTAGGTTTTTCTGAAATCCTCCCTTTTATCATTTCTTATGACACAATGATATTAAGTTTATATAGCATAATTTGTTTAGCCATTCCTCAATTGAAGGGTCCTCCCTTAATTTCTAGGTCTTAGCCTGTATAAAAGGAGCTACTATGAATATTTTTGTACATCTTGGTCCTTTTTCTCTTTCTTTGGTCTTTTTAGGGTATTGCCCTAGTGTATATATATATATATATATATATATATATAAAATAAATATTATATATAATGTTCTTATATTACATACATAATATATAATATAATATAATATAATATAATATAATATAATATAATATAATATAATATAATATAATATAATATAATATAATATAATATATATATATAATATAATATTCAGGTGGAGAATGAAAGTGTAGATCAGAAGAATGAAGAAGATAGCAGACCATCCATGGATTTATTTAAAGCTATTTTTGCCAGTTCTTCTGATGAAAAATCCTCTTCCTCTGAAGAAGATGAAAGTGAAAATGAAGACAATCAAGCTGATCCTGGAGGATCAGATCCTGCAAGTCCAAAACCAAGTGATTTGGTAGAAACATCATCTGATATACAAGGTATTTGTTTTCCGTATTTAAAACTTTTGTAATTAATACAGAAAATGACAGTGTTTCTAGAAAAACTAGCTATTTTCTTTACTTTCAGAGTTGTACATTAGGATACTTTACAATCAAAGATAATTCTTTGTTTAATTAGCTAACTGATTTAATTTAAGTAGTAATAATTGTGCCTTGGCTGGGTTTCATGAGCTATGTTATTACTACTTCACAAGGACAATTTCTTATTTCTTTCCAAGGCAAATATCTGGTGGATTTTTAGGATAGTTATGATTATTTATTATCACTATCTTTTGTTTCACACTTGTCTGTAAAGGTGCTAACACAGATAGTTTGCAAAACTTTAAATCTGTTGAGAAAGACCCAAACTAATGGATTTTGATAATTAAAATAGAATTGTTTTTTGAAATTTCTATGATTAATGAAGCCAGGTCCTTTGGGCTTTGTGAACTTTTGTCTATGAAATACATAGGGCTACACATACATACATTCACTCTACAGATATGTATTTGAATTTTAAATAATTTGTTAGGCACTTAAATAGTTTATACTTTTTCTTTAAAACATTTTGTTAATATTTTTTGTATTATATCACTTCATTTCTCAATGTATCACTACCCAGAGAAACTTTATGATAAATAGAAAGAAAGAAAGAAAGAAAGAAGAAAGAAGAAAGAAAGAAAGAAAGAAAGAAAGAAAAAAAAAGGAAAAAAAGCAGTTTGGCAAAACCAAGCAATAAATAGTTGAGTCTTACAGTGGTCCACATCTAGGCCACGACCCTTTGCAAGGAAGAGAGGAGAGTTACAGTCTCATTTCTTTTTTGTGGGGCAAAAATTAGTCATTATAATTATATGCAGTTTAGTTTAAATTTACACTGTACTCCTTGTGGTTCATATCAATTTTTCTGCATCTCACTGTCTGTTTCACAGTCAGTATTTCTTAAAGTGTCATAGTATTTCTTTGCATTCATATATCAAAATTGTTTAGTTATTCTCCAGTCAGTGAGCGTCTACTTTACTTTTAGTTCTTTGCTGCCACAGATAGCAAATAGCACTTTAAAAAAAACCAAATCAACATATGTTTACAGATATTTACACTTCAGTATTAATTTCTTTCTATATACACATGTCCATAGTAGCTCATTAGTTAGGTGTCTGTTATAGATATAATTTTCAAGATTATTTTATTCCTCGTTTCTTTGTGGGGGCAGATTTTTGTAGTCACTAGTTTATGTTTCTGCAAGTAGCTGGTTGTATGAGGAGCCATCAAGCAAGGTGAACGTAAGCGTAACTTCAAAATTCTTTATTTCAGAAGCATGAACTAAATTGTTGTCAACTTTATACCAGAGAAGCAGGATTTTCTCACAGTCCTACTAGCTGACACAGAGCACTTTAAAATTGGAAAACCAGTTAACACATATTTCATTTGATTTGTGTATTCAGTCATAGGGATGTAGAACTGCAGCACTGCAGGCATTATAAGTAAATAATAGCCATAAAAAAGTGAAAATTCACTTGACTTCTTAGGTCCTCATCTTTGCAAATCCAGGTTTGGATCTTCGAAAAACTATACGGAGGTCTAATTTAATACATTCTCTAGTTGTTTTTTCGGCAGGAAAAAAATCGTATTCTAAAGCTATATGGATTTTATGATTCCTTCTGTACAGTTATGTGTGCTAAAAATCTTTTACTGGCAATATCTATTATGTTTATTAACCTAGGTATATAACTTTAATCTTCTGGCAGCCTTCATGATGAAAAGTTCCATATAAATATAAAATGTTGCAAATGTCAGTCCTTTTCTTTTGAAAATATGGGAAAGAAATAGGATTATTAACTTGTACACTGTGATTAATTTTTAAATTGCATCATTACTTTATAACAGAAGATAATCCTGCATATTTGTACATTTTTTTCCTGAGGTGTTTCTTTTTGAAAAATTAAAATATGCTTATTTTATCCAGTCAGTGCCCTGGTGGTCAATGAGCCAGTGCCTCCTGTTACTTTACAGAAGATGCAGCTTGATGAAAGAGAAGAATTTGGCCCACGGCTCCCTCCTGTGTTCTGTCCTAGTAAGTTGAGGACCCTGGGTATACATATTTGCTTCACAGATAATATCCATTCTCTTACTTCTGAATTTCTTTTTTTTAATTTAAATGTTTTAAATTAAATTAAATTTTTTTCTTCTAAATTTTATTTCAATTCAATAAACAGTTACAAAATACCTGTTATGTGTGAAACATCTTCCTAAGCAACAGTGATGTGAACATGAAAAAAGCCCTGTTATTCTTGCCCTTGGCAAGACTACACTTAATCTAATGGAGTGAAGCAGGCAGAAGGAAAAATATGATGTACCCAAACAAAGTAGAATGTGATGCATGAGCAAAGGAAGACAGGTGGACTGCTTTCAGCTGAAGTCAGTGAAGGTTTCATAGAGAAAATGACCCCTAAGCTGGGCTGTGATGGTCAGATCAGCCAAAGGAGAGGAAGAGAAGATGTCTCTAGGCAGGGAATTGTTCACACACATGCACAGGCGTGGAAAGGGCAGGACATTAGAGATGACCTGTTGTCTAGTGTGGCTGGAACCAAGAATAGAAAGAAAGGAGTCAGTGTTAGAGCCAAAATACGGGGAGCCTGATTGACCTGTTATGGTGCTGAGAAGTCTGTATTAAAGCTATTAAAATAAATTTTTCATAGAGAAAGTATGGTACACCAAAAAGAGCCATGGGCTCTGGAATGAGAAGACCTGAGTTCATCTCTTTCCTCTGAGACTTACTGTCTGTGTGTCCTTAGGCTTATGTTCCTAATTTATAAAATGAAAGGGTTGGAGGAGATGGCCTTTGAGGTTCTTTCCAGCTCTGAATCTGATCCTTTGAGGCAGCTGGGACTTGGAGTCAGGAAGACTTATATTCAAATCCTGCCTCAGATATTAGCTTTGTGACCCTGGGCAAGTCACTTAACCTCTCACAACCTGTTTCCTCATCTGTAAGATAAGACTAATAATAATAAGACCAATCTCAAGTAGGTGTTATAAAGATCAGGTGAGGTACAAAGAACTTTTTAAAAGTGTTGATATGTTAGTTATTATCTTAACAAAATAAGTTAACTGCCTTTAATAAAGCAAGCAGATATTGTGAGTTAGTGTTCTTGCAAATCTAAAAATAAAATTCACATTGTATTCATGAAATCATGAAATTGAGTCTTCTGACTCTCAACACAACGCTCATTCAAACCTACCAAGCCACCTCTGTAAATGCTCAGGTTATTGTGTACGCTGGCAAGCTCAGGAAATGAATGTAATAATTTTGTGGTCATTGCTTTAATCAGACACTGAGATAACTTGTACAGAAGATATCCTCATTTTAAAGATGAGGACACTAAGATCCAAAGAGAAATTAATAATGTGGAATCTGTTTCTATTCCATCTGATCATAACATTTGTTGGTTTATAGCCTTCAAAATCTTTTCTTTTTTTTTTGTTTTGTTTTGTTTTGTTTTTAGGCAATTGGGGTTAAGTGACTTGCCCAGGGTCACACAGCTAGTAAGTGTCAAGTGTTTGGTCTGAGGTTGGATTTGAACTCAGGTCCTCCTGACTTCAGGCCCGGTGCTGTATCCATTGCGCCACCTAGCTGCCCCCTTCAGAATCTTTTCAAAGAAAAATAACTTGAACTTTACTTTTCATCTTTTAAAGATGTTGAGTATGAAAATCTTAAGTGTTTAAAACTTTATCAGTCTTTAAAAAAAAGGTATGGAAGGACTTTTGAAAAGGAAAATAGTATAGTATAGTACCCTTAAATCTCTGTACTAAGAAACAGTATAGCACTTAGAATCTTCTAGAATGCTTGGGTTTAAGTCCCAGCCCTACCACTCATTTCCTGATTTAACATAAATCCGTCCCTCTGAGCCTGTTTCCTCATCTCTAAATAGATTAATGTATTTTCTGGAAGGCAGTATGATATAATGGATGAATAGCTGGGATCAATCCCACCTCTTTTTTTTTTTTAATAGTGTTTTATTTTTTTCCCGATTACATGTCAAGACAATTTTTAGCATTCACTTTTACAAGATTTTGAGTTCCAAGTTTTCTTTCTCCCTCCCTTCCTCTCTTCCCCTCTTCCTAAAATGGTAGGCAATTTGATATAGTTATACATGTGCTATCATGTAAAACTCATTTCCATTATTAGTCACAGTTGTGAAAAAAGAAACAGATCAAAAGGAAAAAAAACATGAAAAGTAATAAAGCAAGTGAAAAAAGTATGCTTCAGTCTGCATTCTGAGTCCATCAAGTCTTTATCTGGATATGGATAGTATTTTCCTTCATGAGTCCTTTGTACTTGTCTTGGATCATTGTGTTGTTGAGAAGAGCTGAGTCATTCATAGTTGATCATTGCACAATGTTGCTGATACTGTGTACAGTGTTTTCCTGATCTGTTGATTTGACTTTGCATCAGTTCATACAAATCTAAGTTTTTCTGAAATCTGCCTGTTCATCATTTTTTATTGTACAATGGTATACTGTTACATTCATATACCACAGCTTGTTCAGCCATTCCCCGATTGATGGTCGCTCCTTCAATTTCCAATATTTTGTCACCACGAAAAGGGCTGATGTAAATACTTTCCCTTCTCATGATCTCTTTGAGATACAGACTTAGTAGTAGTATTGCTGAATCAAAGGGTATGCACAGTTTGGTTACTCTTTGGACATAATTCCAAATTGCTCTCCAGACTGAGTGGATCAGTTCACAACTCTACCAACAGTGCATTAGTGTCCCAATTGTCCTACATCCTCTTCAACATTTATCATTTTCCTTTTTTGTCGTATTGGTCAATCTGATAGGTATGAGGTGGTACCTCAGAGTTGTTTTAATTTGCATTTCTCAAATCAAAAATGATTTAGAGCACTTCTTCATATGCTTATAGATATGATCTCTTCATTTGAAAACTGCCTGCTCATATCCTTTGACCATTTATCAACTAGGGAATGGCTTGTATTTTTATAAACTTGACTTAGTTCTCTATAAATTTGAGAAATGAGGCCTTTATCAGAGACACTGACTGTAAAGATTGTTTCCCAGCTTTCTGCTTTCCTTCTAATCTTGGTTGCATTGGTTTTGTTTGTGCAGAAGCTTTTTAATTTAATATAATCAAAATTATCTATTTTACTTTTCGTAACGCTCTCTATCTCATGTTTGGTCATGAATTCTTCCCTTTTTTTGTAGATCTGACAGGTAGACTACTCCTTCCTCTTCTGATTTGCTTATGATGTCACTCTTTATGTCTAAATCATGTACCCACTTTGACCTTATCTTGACATACAGTGTTAGATGTTGTGCTATACCTTGTTTGTCCCCTGTTGTTTTCCAGTTTTCCAAGCAGTTTTTGTCAAGATGGTGACTTCTTATCCCAAAGGCTAGGATCTTTGGGTTTATCAAGCACTAGGTTACTATAAATCCCACTTCTGATACATAGTGGCTGTGTGACCCTCTGTAAGACACTTAACTTTGTAGTGCCCTAGATAATTCTTTTTAAGACAGTAAGCTGCAAAGCAGGTGCTAGTAAGCATTGGGAAAGGGAGTTTTCTCACCAGAAGTTCCCTATACCCAATAAAATCATAGGTCTGCCCCAGGGAGGTGGGGGAACAGTGGGGGTGGGGGGATGGGTGAGGGAAGGGACAGGACACACCTTTTAACTTCCCTGGATGGTTGTAGGGAATCACAAAAGAAGATAATATATTTAAAGTACTTGGATCTGAAAAACGCTAGAGAAAAATCCATTCACAGGATCATAGCTCTAGAGCTGGAAGGGACCTTAGAGGCCATCTGTAGTCATCTACCCTAATGTTACAGATGAGGAAATGGCGATCTTTATAGTCAATATGTCAAACTGTTGTGGTTTCTAATAATGTGGTATCAGTAACAATATAATTTATGCCATTTGTAGATCGGGGGCATTAAGTCTATTCTATTGATAAATGTTAACCTAACCCTCTGCAGCACATTCAGCATGCAGTGGATTTGGGGGTTTAGATGAAAGTGCAGGTCACATTATTTTTTCCTGTTTTTCTCTTTTAAGAAAACAGAGTAGCATTTGTTTACTGTGTAGGGAGAGACTATAAGCATTTATTAAGTGCCTACAGTGTGCTAAGTGCTTTGCAATTATTATCTCATTCTATCCTAACAGCCCTGGGATGTAGGTGTTATTATATTCCCCATTTTACAGTTGAGGAAACTGAGCAGATAGGTGCAGTGACTTGCTCATCTAGTCTGTCTGAGGTCAGATTTTAACTCGTCTTCCTCATTTCAGTTGTAGCACTCTATCCCCTGTGTCACCTGGCTGCTGATCATGAAGTATTTATTTTCATCTCTTTCAGGGGCCCTTGGTGAAAACTGAACTAGCGAGTATACTTTTAAATGTCTAATCTTCTTTATGTCTCATTTTCATATAATATTCTGAATTTCATTTTAGTAAAAAGCTTCAGTTTGATAATAGGTGAGTAAAGTGAATATTCACAATAGTGTGAAGAAGAATATTGATAACTTGTCAAAAAGATTGGAGTAAGTAAAATTGGGCAAGTGTATACTAAGAGATACGTTTCTAATGTTAGGGTTAGAAAACAAAGACATTTCCGTCTTTGGGATGTTGGAAAATAATGAAAACTGAAACTTTTGAACTCTCTTGAGTATAAAATGGGTTTACATTGACTTAATTATTTTATTTGTTGTGAATTTCATAATTTTTTGTTGTTTGACAGGTTCTAAATTGTATTATATAAAAATATCTTGGTCTCAAGTTTGAAGTGGTAAATTTAGCTTTGGGGAAAATACTCTGCTTATTAATTGTTCAGCTATTTAAAAAATGTTATTGACATCTTTTGTTCTCACATCATTCATCTGTCAGTACCTCCATCCCTATTCCTGACTAGAGTTCATTCTTTATCATAAAGAATTAAAGAGGAGAAAAAAGCAGTTCAGTAAAACTAATCAACAAATTAATCAAGCTCTACAATGTACCACATCCACAGTTCTCTACCTCTGCAAAGGAGGCAGGGAGGTACATTTGATTTCAGATCATCAGGATCAAACTTGAATAGTATAACCATACAGTGATCAGTTAGGTTTTTTTGGTTGAATATGGTCTCAAAGAAGAGATATTAGAAGACATTCCCCCCTCCCCCCTCCCCCCAACTACCTCCTATCCTCCATATTCCTTTGTCAAGGTAGAAGGTCCAGGGGTGTGGAATGGTACATATATTTTCAGACATTTTTGGTGTATTAATCAGTTTTGCTGATTTTTTTTCTCTCTCCTTTCTCTTTTTCTTTCCTTTTAAATATTATTCATTATATGGGATGGCCTTCTGGTTGGGGGGGAAGGAATACAGGGACAAATTTTGGTGGTATTGAAGTGTATTTTGTTTCTCTGGTTCTACTTATTTCACTTATCTCAATTCACATAAGTCTTCCCAGGCCTTCCTGGTCAGCCATTCTTAATGATACAATGATAGATAAATGGTTTTTAGTTTAAGAGGCTCTGTTTTTTAGAACGACTGTTTCTAAAACTGATTTTCTAAAATAGCTGATCTGATGGTAAATTAAAAATGTGTATTAGCAGAATAATTTGATTTTTATCCTCAATCTCTCAAATGAGAATATAATAGAGTACATAGGTCTCATAATGGGTACGTGCTGTGGTAGCTCTTTAAAAGTGCTAATGTATGGTGCCTTGTGTATAATTAGGCTTACAATAATTGTTTGTTGAATTGGATTAAGTATACTAATACATTGGTATTTGAATGCAACAGAAATGAGTCCACAGACACAAATTCTACCTTAATATTAACTCCAATCTTTAGTGCTAATTCAGTTTTGATATCTTCAACCTTTTTGCTCCTGTTAGCTTGTGTGTTTTCTACACTTTAACTTGAATTTAATTTTAGATGCTCGTCAGAAACATGAACCTGTGCCACAGTCCAGCTTTTTGGAAGGCCACCCAAAAGAGAAACCTAAGAAGAGCAAAGAAAAACGGAAGACAAAGAAAGACCACAAGCACAAAAAAGAAAAGGTAAATTTGTTCTTGGTGGAATAGGTGGAAGAGTGCCATTGGTGGTTGTTTTCCTGGTCTGTCACATGCTTTTTCTTCACCTAAAAATAATTCTCAGGCTCAGTCCTCAAAGCCAGACTGTGGTAAGCCATCAAACCCTCAGATTCTGAAAGGTGAATCCTTGGTGCTCGTACGCCCTTCCCAAAAGGTTAGATTTTTATGTACAAACTTTCCTTTTTTCTCTGAAGTTTTTTCTTTCTAAGTAAGAAAATAGATGTCTTCAAGTGTATTGTTTTTTTAGTAATATGAACAAAAAGAAGTTTCAGGAGGATATGCAAATGCTGTTGTGTATCTTAGAGTAATGAAAGTATTTTCTAAGCCTGAGAATGCCTCATGTTGACTGTTGAGTGCCAAATGAGAACATTTCTGAGAGCATTTCTTGTTGGGCTTAGCTTGATTTTAGACGTGAAATGTAGTTAGCAATTAGAAATATTGTGTGCTTTTAAAAAATAGTTGTATTTTTGTCATGGGTGAAGTCTGTCAGCTAGATAAAAGTTTGTTAGCAAGTAACAAACAAATAGATTGTTCCTAATTTGAAAGTTTGCTTCTCAATCTGTTGATGTTTATTTTCCTATTCTCATTGGAGCTGTTGGCTCATCAAAAAGAGATTAATGAGTTTTCCTAGGAGAAAAAAAGCATGGTTTATGACTTCCAGGTGCAACAAATACCATTTTTATATTCTAACAACTGCTACATACACCACTCAGTGTTTTTCAATCTCTTATAGAGGTGGTAATAGCGTAATGGACAGAGCCCCTGGACTTTGACTCTGGATAGCAGGGTTTTAGTTTAGGCTCCCTTGTTCCCAGGCTCCAGCCAGAATTTCTTCATCTATAAAATGTTGATAATAATCCTTATACTATCCATTTCATGGAGTGGTTATGAGTAAAAGCAAATTATAAACCATAAAGCTCTATGTAAATTGGGAGTAGTTATTTATTATTATCATTCAGTTTCTGATATACCTGTGAATTTTACAGGAAAGGGAAAGCATCTGTCCAGCTAGCCTTCCACTGGCCAAGCTATCCATTTGCTGTTAGACATATTTAGTGATATAGAGACACGTATTAGAAATGTATTTTTTCCACCATATTACTGTTAATACGTAGTTTCCTGTCACACCTACCTTCTGTCCATTACCCTTTGGTACTAATTGGCAAGAAAGATTTTATGAAACATTAGAAATTCCTTGGTCATATGTTGTTTAGGAAACAGTGAAATTAAACATTGTTGATGACAGAAGTGTCAGCATGAGTGCCAGTTCCTAATTTGCTATTTAGTAACTGATGTTAGACAGTTGAAAGACTTTTAGCATTTGAAATGTTATATTTTGGTAATGATTAAACTAAATACTTTACTTTTTTTTCTTCTTGGGATCATAGTGTGATCTTTTGATCTGAGTAAGTTAGTAATGGAAGCTGAGGTAGAATGTAGGATAGGAAAGTAGACTAGAAATAGCTCAATATTAACAGACGAGAGAAAAAATACGTAAGAATCATACCTCCTTTATTTAGTTTTAAAAAATTTATTAATTTATTTTGATTTATCAACAATCACTTCCATATTCTTTTGAGTTGAAAATTTTTCTCCCCCTTTCTCCCCCCCACCCTCCCCAAGACGGCACACAATCTGATATAGGCTTTACATTTACATTCCTATTAAATATATTTTCACAGTAGTGAAGTTGTAAGTAAAAATTGAAACCAATAGGAGGAACCATCAGAAAGATGAAACAAAACTCGACAGAAGGTAAAAATAAGTGATAGTGAAGAATCATACCTTCTTGAGATGAATTAAGGGGTTAAAAAGTATCGTAGATAAATTTTAAAATAAAATTATTTCTTAACTATGTTTTCTTGTTTTTACGAGATGATAGTCGTATTGTTTTTCTGACTAGCCCCTCTCTTTATGCATTTCCATGATGTCTGTCACCCAGATTTCTAGCCGTTCAGAAGCGTTCAAGAAAAACAAGGTCACTTGAGTTAGACCATCTTGAAAGTGCAGTGTCTGCAGGACTGTGCCCTGAATATGTTTGTTAAGGAGTTAAAGTTTGTACCCCTGTGCTGTGTAAATATTGTTATTTCTTTGCTACACCAAAGTATGCTGGATTTCATTTTGAAATTGGGTTTTTTTGTTTTTAATGAACCCAACTGTCTTTTTTCTCATTATTATTTTTTCTAGAATGTATCCATTTATTCCAGAATACCTCAAAGCTTCACACTAAAACAAGGGAAATGCAGAACTAAGCAACTGTATTTTTCTTTCTTTCTTTCTTTCTTTCTTTCTTTCTTTCTTTCTTTCTTTCTTTCTTTCTTTCTTTCTTTCTTTCTTTCCTTCCTTCCTTCCTTCCTTCCTTCCTTCCTTCCTTCCTTCCTTCCTTCCTTCCTTCCTTCCTTTCTTCCTTTCTTTCTTCTTCCTTCCTTCCTTCCTTCCTTCCTTCCTTCCTTCCTTCCTTCCTTCCTTCCTTCCTTCCTTCCTTCCTTCCTCTCTTTCTTTCAGAAAAGGAAACATAAGAAGCATAAACAGAAAGGCAAACAGAAAAATAAAAAAACAGAGAAGAGTAGTAGTTCGGAGAGTGTTGATAGCAGTGACAGCCAGAGTGATTCAGAGGTCAAAGACATATCACCTCAGGAACTTCTGAGAAGGTATGGCATTCTTTTGTATTCCGCTGACATAGAAATGGAGCCAGCAGGAAGAATGGATTCAAGGCCTTGAAGTGTAAGTCAAGAGACCTGAGTTCTGGTCTTGGTGCTAAACATTGAAACCGTTACCTTTGTTACATCTTAGTTTCTTTGGATTTCCCCATCAAGAGGAATAAAAGGTTGAAAGAGATGATTCCTAACATTCTTTTTACAAGTTCAGGTTATTTCTTTACATCTGTATGCAGTACAGTTAACACTAGGAGAACCAGAATTTAAGACTATCTCAAAGGACCAAACTGTTTCAGTTGACACAGCGCATGTTTTTTTTTATCTGCAAGACAAAGAAAATGGAGATGATAGGATAAAAAATTTTATTTCAAAGCAGAATTATAATATTTTTGCATTAATTGATGTACCTGGTCCTTCTAGTATTGAAAGTACACGTGGCTCTGTTTTGTACTTATTAGCCTTTACAATGATAATGGACTGAGAATTAGGTTTTGAAATAAAATCCTCAGTCATATTTGATATTGAAGTAAAAACCACTTTCCAAAGGTCAAACAGTAAATTATTGATGGACCCCAGATGAGAACTCTTCTTTGTACTTCTTTTATAACACAATTTATATTAATTCAGTTCAACAGTTACTAAGTGCCTATTATTCTCTCCTGTTTTCTTCATTTCACAGCACCTTGATATCATCTCTCTTCCTTTCCCCCAGTTCTGACAAAGAAGTGGCCCTTCTCCTTGCCAACACCAACTTCTTTACATGTGCACTTGATCCATCACCTCTAGTCTATTGCAGAGCAAATCCTCACTCATCCTCCTCCCTGCTAATCTTCAGTCTCTTGCTATCTGTGGTTTCCTTCCCTATTGACTTCAAACATGGCCAAATCTCTCCCATCCTTAAAAAACCTTCACTAAACTTTACTCCTCGTCCTTTAATCTCTCTTTCCTCCCTTTCTCAGCAAAAAAAATTTGTCGAGACTCACTGCCTTCCTTGGTCCTTTGCATCTGGTTTCTAAGCTCAACTGCAACTGGGCTCTGCAAATTCAGCTGAGGTCGAAGCTGAACCTGCTCAACTAATATGAAACTTCTTTCTCTAGAGTTATCAATGATCTCTTTATTTGTCAGATCTGATGGTCTCTTTCATAGTCTCTGCATTTGTTACTGCTGCATTCTGCTGACTTTCTGCTGCATTTGACACTGGTGACCACCCTCTCCTCCTACACATTGTCTCACTCTATTCTGGTTTTCCCACCTGTCTTGAATGTTCCTTGAGAGCCTTTTTTTTCTGGCTCATCAGCTATATGATGCCCCCCTCACTGTCTTCTTTTCCCACTATTCTTTCTCAGTAACCTCACCAGCAGCCATGGGTTTAACTATTTTCTCTGTGCAGATGATTCCCAGATATATACATGTGTATATGTGTGTATGGGTAGATGGGGTGCGGGATGTGTGTGTGTGTATCTATTTCTGTGTCTGTGTATCCAGGCCCAGTCTGTCCTCTGACCTTTAGTCCCACTTTACCAGTTGCCTATTGGACATTTCAAACGAGATGACTTAGAGACATCTTATACTTAATATGTCTAAAACTGAACTCGTTATCTTTTCCGCTAATGCTCCTCTCTTCCAGACTTCCCTATTTCTCTTGAAGGCACTGTCATCTTTCTGGCCTTTTGGGTTCATGACCTCAGCATTATTCTGCACTCCTCACTCTCCCTTACCCCATATATCTAATCTGCTGTCAGATCTTGCTGTTTTTAACTTCACAACATCCAGCCCCTTCTTTCTATTCATGCAGTTTACTATCATTTAGGTCCTCATCACCCCTTACTCACCTAGATTATTGCAAGCCTCCTAATTGTTCTTCCTGGTTCAGGTCTCTTCCCACTCTAGTTCACTCTACACATTGTTGCCAAAGTCATTTTAGTTGAGCACAGATTTGATCATTCTAGTCCCCTACTCAGCCAACTCTGGTGGTTTCCTGTTGCCTCTAAGATAAAATAGAAACTCTCTTGTTTGGCTTCTAAATCATTTCACAATCTGGCCTCAACCTGTCTTTCCAGCCTCATTAGATATCATACCCCCTCCCACACTCTGCAGTGCAGCCCAGTTGAGCTTTTTTTCTGTCCCTCATACATTCCATCCTCCACCTGCTGTGCCTCTGTACTGGCCATGCTGCGTCTGAAGTGCACTCCTTAATTCCCTCTATTTTAGAAGGTGAAGCACCATCCTTTACATGAAGCTTTTCCTGATCCCCCAAACTACATTGTATTTATTTTGTATGTGTTTGTATTTATTAACTTTATATTTATATTGTATGTATTTTTACACATATTGCCTTCCCCATTATAATGTAAACTTTTTAAAAAAATTTTATTTTTATTTTGATTTATCAACAATCACTTCCATATGCTTTTGAGTTGAAAATTTTTCTCCCCCTTCCTCACCCCCACCCTCCCCAAGACGGCGCACAATCTGATATAGGCTTTACATTTACATACCCATTAAACATATTTTCACGTTAGTGAAGTTGTAAGTAAAAATTAAAACCAATAGAAGGAACCATCAGAAAGATGAAACAAAACTCAACAGAAGGTAAAAATAAGTGAGAGCGATTCGACTTCCATAGTTCTTTCTTTGGATGTGGACAGCATTTTCCATCCCGAGGCCTCTGGAAGTGTCTTAGATCCTTGTAATACTGAGAAGGGTTCAGTTTAACAATATTAGTCATTGTATAACGTGGCTGTTATTGTGTACAAAGTCCTCTTGGTTCTTCTTACTTCACTCAGCATTAGACTGTATAAGTCTTTCCAGGCTTTTCTGAAGTCAGCCTGTTCATCATTTCTTATAGCACAATAGTATTCCATTACATTCATGTACCACAACTTGCTCAGCCATTCCCCAGTTGATGGGCATCCTCTCAATTTCCAATTCTTTGCCACCATAATGTAAACTTTTTGCAAGTGGGAATTGCTTCACTCTTTGTATTTGTGTTCCCAGCATCTAGTACGTAGAAGGCAATTAATAAATGTTGATTGGTTAGTTGATGTGCAAGGAATTGTGATAGGGCTGGGAGTAGAAAAACAAAATAGGCTCTGCTGTGAAGAAGCTTAGATTTGACAACTGTGTGCTGTTAGACCAAGGATCATGTTGAGAGGCACATTTCTGAAGGTAATGAGCCAGTGATAGAGAGATGACCAACTTTTGTTCTGTTCTTATTGACTGACCAATGACTATAAATTGATTGCGTTGAAAAGAATATATTCTAACGTTCTTAGTGTTCAATTGGTAGAGAGGCAATAAAGATGAATGTTAGAGAATCCCACAAAATATATTGTTAAAGTTTAGTGATACTTGATTTTTAATTTTCTTTTTACAGGCTGAAACGTCTTCCATTAACAAAGAAGTAACCTGTTTCTTTAATTTTGAACTGGGTCTGATCTCTCTTCTGAAATTTTGATCTCCTCTATGATGGTAGATCAGTTATTGTATAATTCATGCAGTGTACAGATTATATTTATATATAAAGCTATGATTTGAAACAGATTTTTAAATCTTTGCATTTCAAAGTCTGAACTGGAAAGTTGCAAACTGGGCTTTAGCTAGTGGCAAAAGAATAAAATTCACAATGTGCATTTTAATTAAAATATAATTTTGCATAATAAATTAGTAATTACAATTTTATTTCCAATTCTCTAATGTCTGTAATTTACATAAAGAAATTAAAATTGTAAACTAGTACATGACTCTGTTATGAAGAAGGAAGACATCCACATGGGAACACTTTTATGAAGAAAGAAAAGAAAAGTTAAAAGGGAAAAAAACCCCAGAATCCATATCAGTTACCAAAATGGATTTTGTCCTTGTTGTTTCTTTTCTTCTAAACTAAAGCTTCTTGTATAGTAGCCTGGGATTCTATCTAAGAGAATCTATATAATTGTACTGATGGCCAGAGGCACCGTATGCCAGTTAATATTTCATTTCAGTGTTATAGGGATCTGGTATGTTGTTTAGGAAAGAAATATGGGCCATCAGAGTTCAGGGTGGAAAACCCTTAACTTTTACAATGTAGTAGTGTAGTTGGTGTATTTTCTTGACCCTCAGGTCACACCTTTATAAATATTCTTTCAGCTTCAAATCAAAATGCTGTAAATAGTAACCATTTTGATAAGTGCTATATGAATACTAAGAATATCCTTAAAAAACTCTCTAAATCCAAGTATAACCATAAAGAGAGGTTGATGGTATGGTGGATGGAGAGCTGGCTGGAATCAGGAAGAGTTGGGTTTAAGTCCTGCCTGTATCACAAAGGGACTGTGTGACCCTGGTCAAGTTACTTCATCTCTAAGGGTCCTGTGTAATTCTCTTAAGACAATAAATTGCAGAAAAGGTGCCTATGGTAGAGTATATCACATAGAACTCCTGACACTGATGAAATCACAGGCCAGGCTTTAAAAAAAAGGCCGAGAACATAAAACCAGCATACTGTTTGGAGGGAGCAGGGAAGAATCCATAGATTCCTTGAGGAAGAAATGAGTTGAGTGTGGGATATGGATAGCAGTGTGTCACATTTACCGAGTTCCCATTGCCCTGGAATGCCCACTCTTCCTCCCTGGTAAAATGCCTGCCCAAGGAGAAGACGTGTCTTTCTGGCTACTTTTACTGGGGTCCAGAATGTATTTCCCTAGAAATGGATGGTTTAAGGGAAATTTAAGTTTGCTCAGATGACAGAACATTTAAACCCAAGCTGTACTAATTCAATCTGTACTTGGGCCACCCATTGTAAAATTCTATAGGGATATGTGTTCCAAGTTTTAAAAACCAACTCATAAATGAAATTTAGGAACACAATCTATTTGTATTTGATTGCCTATGTTCTTTTTCTCAGATGCTTTAACTGTCTTTATAAATAAAGAGTAAACATTTGCTACAAAGAATATATTTAATAAAATTGAATCCCAAATCCCTTACAAATAAACGAGGGGCCAGAAAATCGGGGTTCTAGCCCCAGCTCTGCTACTTAGCTATGGCTTTGTTCTTCTTCCCTCTCTAGGCATCTGTTTCCATATCTATAAAATAGGGATAATCCTATCCTACCTACCTAAAGAGTTGGTATGGAGGTCAAATGGAATAATATTTGTGAAATCTTTTTTTTTTTTTTGGTGAGGCAGTTGGAGTTAAGTGACTTGCCCAGAGTCACACAGCTAGTGAGTGTTACATGTCTGTGTCTGGATTTGAACTCAGGTCCTCCTGACTCCAGGGCCAATGCTCTATCCACTGCGCCACCTAGCTGTCCCTTGAAAGTTTTAAGCCATAAAGTGCTGTAAAAATTTAAAAGATTGTTACTACTACTGATTGATCTTAAGCTCATAGATTTAAGGCAAGGTGTTTTTAACCTTTTTTTAATTTCATTGATATTCTGGACTGAGAAGCCTATGGATGTCTCAGAATAATGTTTTTAATTGTATAAAATAAAATATATGAGATTGTAAAGGAAATCAATTATATTGAAATACAGTTACTGAAATATTTTCAAAATCCAAGTTCAGGAACCTTGAGTGAAGACCCTTGATTTAGGACTGAAGATAACTCAGAGGCCTTCCCTTTTAACCCCTTCATTTTAAAGATGAGGTAAAGAAAGCCCAAAGAGGTTGTGACTTGCTCAGTGTCATCCAAGTAGTAAGTGTTACAGGTGAGATTTGAATCCTGGGGTGCCAACCAGAATTAGTGCTAGTTAGTGTTCTTTCCACTGTGTCAGATCTGTAAGTCCCATGTTACAAAGTATTTATGGGACTTAGTATCAGTTGTGACATTTTTTGGACAAGGCTAATTCAAGAATCTGTTTTGCTTAACTATGCATATTTGTACCATTGGTTTTGTTTCTTGTTTTCCAGCGGGTTGGGGGAAGTGGAAGAGAAAATAGCTTTTTGTTCACTTAAACCTTTTTTTTTAATGGGGTGGCGGTATGATGTAGTGAAAAGAGCACTGAATTTGAAGAAAGAGGGTCTGGGTTTGAATTCTGACTCTTTCGAATATTCTATGTGACAGGTAACCTCTGTAGTTCTGTTTCCCCATATCTGTAAGGGTTGGACTGTGTGATCCCTAAGATCCCTGCCTGCTCTGGATCCTTATGTTCTTGTAGTTTACAGGATAATTTTGAAGTTCCAGGATTGTTTGATTTCCTCGGATATGTAAAAACAGTTCATGTTAGGCCCAATTTTTTTTGCACTCAATAAATATTAATAATGAAATTAATAAAATTTGTTAACCAATACAAATTACTAATACCTATTTATTGACTGAGTAGACATTCTGCTAATCACTGGTTCCAATTGATATATACCATCTACAGAAATAATAGTACTTTCCTCTCAGTCTGCCGCACCATTGATTCTGCCAGGGTATTTGTGGTTTTTTTGAAAGTCTCAGTTTTATTTCTTTATTCATCATCTGTATGGTTTTGGAGCTTTAATCATTGAGCTTCCATTGATCTATCAAGATATGTAAGTCAGCTCCAGTCTCTGTAAGCATCTTATGAAAGTCTTCAATGCTGGGAGCAAATCAAAAATTTATACCTCTGCAGGCAACCCTCAGGGGATCTATCTGTAGTACTTGGACCACTGGAATCCCCAGGCTCAGTCTTTCAAACCAGTTCCAGTTAAAGGAGTAATTTTCTGGCAGAAACATAAATTAGATAATACTGCTTCAGAGTAAAAACTATAACTTTGGATGAGAGTAAGACTAAGGGTCAGGAGTAGGTAACCTTCAAAAGAGGAGAAGCAAGCGTTAAAGAAGCCAGAGAGCAGATATTAAGGTAAGAAGGAAGAGAACACAGGTGCCTTTTGTCCTGCACATAGAAAAAAAATCCCTTACCAATGTCTATTATTTTTGAAAGCAGTGATACACTTCAGTTTTGTGATTTAAGTATCTAAAATAACTTTAATACCACTTGATTCTTAGGGGTGTAGTGAAAACTCATTTCATGTTTTAAGATGATAAACATTTAAGGTTAAATCAGGACAAAGGGACTGCTTGTTGGTCATTTCCTAATGAATGTGGTGATCTATCGCTGGCCCCCCAGCCAGTGGTGCCTCTTAATATGAGTGCGTTTCTTTTTCTTTTTAGCAAGGAGAAGGTAGTAACAGTAATAATAATAACTTTATATAGTACTTTAAAGTTTTATATGTATGTTAAGTACATCTCATTTGATCCTAACAGCCCCTAGGAGGTAGGTGCTCATCCCCATTTTAAGGATGGGGAAACCAAGGTTGAGAGAGGTTTAGTGACTTGCTCAGGGTCACACTAGTAGAAAGTATTCAAAGCAGGATTTGAACTCATCTATCTGACTGCCAAGTCCAATGTTATATCCCTAGGTATCTGGTAAGTGTTGGGATCCTGAAGGTAGACAAGAGAAACTACTGACTGCTGCAGATGCTGTTCTGATAGCAGAACGGGAATGCATTGCCCAAAGAGTTGGAATGGCAAGATGGCTTACATAGACCAGAAGTTGATGCAGCCCCGTGCCACCTGCTTTTGTTTTTTGTTTTTGTGTTTTTGTTGAGGCAATTGGGGTTAAGTGACTTGCCCAGGGTCACACAGCTAGTGAGTGTTACGTGTCTGAGGCCACATTTGAACTCAGGACCTCCTGACTCCAGGGCTGGTGCTTTATCCACTGTGCCACCTAGCTGCCCAAGCCACCTACTTTTGTATGGCTGTTGGGCTAAGAATGGTTTTTATATCTTTATTTTAAATGGGCCAGGTTTGGCTAGCTTGCCTGTAGTTCACAGAGCCCTCATCTTGTCCAACCTCCTTGTTTTGTACAGGCGGAAACAGGCTTGGAGAAGGGAAGAGATTTAAGCAGGTTAGTGACAGCCATGAGAGGACAAGGAACAAGCATTTATTAAGAGTCTACTAGGTGTTCAGTGCAGTGCTAAATGTTTTACGATATGCTCTGCTTGGGATGTAGGTAACATTTTATAGGTGGGGATAATGAGACTGAGTGGTTACCTGACTTGTGCAGTGTCTGAGGCTGCATTTGAACTGAAAATTTGAAATGAAAAACAGAAACGAAGGGGAACATTCCTTCTTGACTCCAGGCCCAGCACTCTATCCACTCTTGGCTGCCTGAATGAGAGGCAGCTGTTGTGGTGGAACAGAGAGCTCTGGACTTGAGTCAGTCAGGATTCTCTAGTTAAGTCTCCACTCCAACTCTTGCTAGTTTTAAAGTCCTGTTCAGTTCTAAATCTTATGATCTTTTCAGCTTATGTCTGGTTGGCCAACTGGAGATACTCATTACCCTATCCGGCTCAAAGAGCTATTGTGGGGAGGGCACTGTAAATCTTGAAGGTTTGGAAACATGAGTAGTTGACAACTAGCTGGACGGTACACTGAGATGTCCTGTCAGAAAGTTAGGGTTCGAACTCTGCCTCTGCTACAAATCAGTTGGGGCACCCTGAGCAAGTCGATTTGCCACTTTGGGCCTTATCTGTAAAGTGAAAGGGTTGGCCTTGAGATCCCTTCTCCAAGTTCGTCTTTTCCGAAGTTCCCAGGCCGGCTCGGCCAGAAGTGATGTTGCAGAGCTGGAGAGGTCCAGGCTGGGAATGTTGGGGACTCCAAAGGCCTCAACACTCTGCCCCATCCCTCCCCCCACCCTCCCACGGCAGGGCGGCCGCGCTGTGGCCCTCGCGGGCCCCCATAGCGGCAGTTGCCATGGAGTGGAAAAGCTTTACGGCAGATTTACGGACCAACAGGCTCATCCGAACCTCGAGGCCCAGCGACCCCTTGGCTCTATGGGATCCCAATGAGCAAACAGCCGAGCCTGCGAAGCCGGAGGAGCCGCGATGGGGCGACCATGAGCGGCAGTCCAAGGTCAGGGGCACCACCCTGGACCCCGGGCCTTCTGCCTCCTACCCCAGCCTAACTGAGCCCGAGGGGCTGCATGTGGAGTGAGGGATGGGGCCTGGGAGCCTGGGTGCGGAGCCCAGGAGGCTTGATGCGGTGCTGGCTGGGGTGCTGAGGTGCTGGCTGGGAGGAGTGTGCAGGTGTCGAGTCCCGCGCATGCGCGTATTGTATGCGGAGCGTGCTGAGCTCCGTGGGCTGGTTGTGGCTCCGAGGAGTGCTGGGTGTGAGTGTGCTGGGTGTGAGGTGTGTGCAGGTGTCCCGCATCCTTAGTGCGTACTGCGTGCGGGGCGTGCAGCCCTTTGTGTGAGGTGTGTGCAAGTGTCTCTGGTCCTGCGTGCTCATTGCGTGCAGGGCAGTGGCTGCTGTCCTAGTGCTGGGGGTGGGGGTGCCGGGTCCCCGGCTTTGATTAGAGGGGCGGGAGGTATGACGGGCTTAGGCTCTGAGCCATTCACCCTCAGGAATGCCTTCATCGCTGAGGCTGCTTTTTGCTCCCGGTCCCTAGAGCAGAAGCGGCGTGGGGAAGAGAGGACGAGGGCAGGGGCCCGACACCTCCCCCAACAGAGACCTTGGGGCCGCAAAGAAAGGGTCCCTATCGGATGTTGTGAGGTGGGCCAGCGTTGAAGTCCTGGAGCGAGCGAAGGTATCCTCCAGACGAGACGCACCTCCCCACTCTCTCCAGCCTCCTCCCATCACTGACCGCCTTCCCCTGCCCGAGCTTCAATGTCTTCCCTGGGCTCCTCAAGGTTCTGCCTTTGACTAGAGGTGTGGCTGGTTCATTCTTTCCTCGTGGCCTCTTCGTTTTATAGATCCCCTTTAAAATCCTGAGAGGACATAATCATGTCGTGAGCTCCTGCCATTTCTGTTTTGAGGACACTAGGATTCTCTCTGGTTCCTACGACAAAACTGTGAAAATTTGGGTAAGAGGTTTCATGGTGTACTAAAAAGAGCTCGGTAATTTGGAGTCAGAACACCTGGGTCCTAATGCCCTGACAAGCCCCATTCTCTCGCAGGCCCTATCTGTTAAATAAAGGGGGGCTCAGGGATGATCTGTAAGGTTCCTTTTAACTGGCATTCCATGACCCTGTGGCTTTAAGAAGACAGGCCCTCAGTTTGCATAACATGCATATGAAGGTTGAATGACAATTTCCTGCTTTCTTTGTATTCATTTCCCTTATATTCATAAACTATCAGTCTTCATGAAAATTAATACAGTTCATGTTGGTGGTTTGAACTGCCCTTTCCACGAATCAGGTGTGAAGGAGAGTTGGAAGCTTCAGGAATGAAACTAAAGTTATATAAACTGGAAAACAAAGATTCTTCAGAGCAAAAATTAAATAGATTAAAAGGGGAAAAGAAAGTGAACCAAGTGCTGGTGTATTTTTTTCCACGTTGTTAATTAAGTCTTGGTAGGGCAGCTAGGTGGCGCTGTGGATAGAGACAGCCCTGGAATTAGGGAAGCCTGAGTTCAAATTCGACCTCAGACACTTACCAGCTATATTTCCCTGGGCAAGTCACTTAACTCCGTTTGTCTCAGTTTCTTATCTGTAAAGTGAGCAGGAGAAAGAAATAGCAAACCACTCTAGTATCTGCCAAGAAAACCCCCAAAATGGGGTCATGTAGAGATGAAACAGGACTTAACAACAGTTGTCTTGGTAGAGGCTGATCCAAAAGAGCTTAAATCAATTCCATAAATAGCTTCTGCAGCCCATTCAGTGCCATAACAATGGCACTGGAGAACAGCTGTGGATTTCTTTGGGAGCTATACTTTTCACACACACCCTTCCCCTTTTTTTCCTAAATTTCACTGAAAGCTTAGAGGAATTTCTGTATCATTATGATGCCCCAAGGGATTCTGACATTTTCACTTTTGAAGCAATAACTCTTGATATGGAATAAACCTCTAATCTTTAGTCTCTCTTATCCTTTATTTCTACTCTTATATTCTGAGTTAACTGAGTGAATCTCTGGGGGTTGTATCTTTTGGCTTAAGGCGAAACTTGTACTAATATCTTTTTTATTATTTTTTTTGCAATCATCATCATCATCTTTAATATATGACATACTGGTTGAACTTGGCCTTAGATGAGGAAATATGAGCCTGAGGACCAGCAGATTTTAGAATTAAAAGGTATCTCAGAGGCCCTCTAGTCCAATGTCCTTATTTTACAGATGAGGAAATGACCTTAGAGAGGGGGGCCTCTGTAACTTGCTCAAGAGAGGGTAAACAGCAAAGTTGTGATTCAAACCCAAGTCTTTGGGCTAAAAATCCAGTGTATGTTCATCTGTACCATGAAGGGACTGAAGACCACAATAGTAGCTGATATTCTTCAAGTTGACAAAGTATTTTACATACAATATCACATGTTTCTCCAAAGAATCTCATAAAATAAGTACTACATTTATGATCATTCCCGTTTTTCAGATGATGAAACTAAGGCTTTGAGAGGTTGTGACTTTCCTATGGTCACTTAGCTAGTTAGGATTAGAGGTGGAATTGAAGCCAGCTCTTTTGTTTTTAAAGCTCTAATCAAGCTGACATTTTTAAAAAATTAATTTATTTTTAGTTTTTGACATTCACTTCCACAAGATTTTGAATTCCAAATTTTCTCCCTATCTCTCCCCTCCCTCACCCCAAGATGGCAAGTATTCTGAACACCTCTTCCCCCAATCTGCCTCCCCTTCCATCACTCCCCACCCATCCTTTTCCCTTTGTATTTTCCTGTATGGCAGGATAGATTTCTATACCCCTTTGCCTGTATATTGTATTTCCCAGTTGCACTTAAAACAATTTTTAAGGTTCATTTTTAAAACTTTGAGTTCCAAATTCTCTCCCTTCCTCCCCCCACCCCACCCTCATTGAGAAGGCAAGCAATTCTATGTAGGTTTTTTGCAGTCACACAAAACACTTCCATAATAGTCATGTTGTGAAAGATTGACTATATTTCCCTCCATCCTATCCTGCCCCTGGTTTTTTCTATTCTCTCCTTTGACCCTGCCCCTCTTCAAAAGTGTTTGCTTCTGATTACCCCTCCCCCAATCTGCCCTCCCTTCTATCATCTCCCTCCTCTCTTATGCACTTCCCCCCTATTTTCCTGAAGGATAAGATAGGTTTCCACACACAATTGAGTGTGTATGTTAAGCCAAATCCTTAGGGAACAAGATTCACTCATTCCCTCTCACCTCCCCCCACTTCCCCTCCACCATAAAAGCTTTTTCTTGCCTCTTTTATGTAAGACAATTTATTGAATTCTACCTCTCTCTTTCTCCTTCTTCCAGTACATTCCTCTCTCACCTCTTAATTTTATTTTTTAGATATCATCCCTTCATATTCAACTCACCCTGTGCCCTCTGTCCATATATATGTATATATATATATGTGTGTGTGTATATATATATATTTCCTCCAACTACTCTAATACTGAGAAAGATCTCATGAGTTACAAATATCACCTTTCTGTGTAGGAATGTAAACAGTTCAACTTTAATAAGTCTCTTATGATTTCTCTTTCCTGTTTATCTTTTCATGCTTCTCTGGAGTCTTGTATTTGAAAGTCAAATTTTCTATTCAGCTCTGATCTTTTCATTAAAAATACTTGAGGGGCAGCTAGGTGGCACAGTGGATAGAGTACTGGCCTTGGATTCAGGAGGACCTGAGTTCAAATCCGGCATCAGACACATAACATTTACTAGCTGTGTGACCCTGGGCAAGTCACTTAACCCTATTGCCTAACAGCCCCCCCCCAAGAAAAAGAATACTTGAAAGTCCTCTATTTCATTGAGTGTCTATTTTTCCTCCCTGAAGGATTATACTAAGTTTTGTTGGGTAGGTGATTCTTGGTTTTAATCCTAGCTCCTTTGACCTCTGGAATATCATATTCCAAGCCCTCCAATCCCTCAGTGTAGAAGCTGCTAAATCTTGTGTTATCTTATGTTTCTGGCTGCTTGCAATAGCTTCTCCTTGACCTGAGAACTCTGGAATTTGGCTATAATATTCCTAGGAATTTTCCTTTGGGGATCTCTTTCAGGAGGTGATTGGTGGATTCTTTCAATTTCTATTTTATCCTCTGGTTCTAGAATATCAGGGCAATTTTCCTTGATATTTTCTTGTAAGATGATGTTTAGGCTCATTTTTTGATCATGGCTTTCAGGTAGTACAATAATTTTAAAATTATCTCTCATGGGTCTATTTTCTAGGTCAGTTGTTTTTCCAATGAGATATTTCACATTGTCTTCTATATTTTCATTCTTTTGGTTTTGTTTTTTATGATGTCTTGATTTCTCATAGAGTCATTAGCTTCCATTTGCACCATTCTAATTTTTAAGGAATTATTTTCTTCAGTGAGCTTTTGGACATTCTTTTCCACTTGGCCAATTTTGCTTTTTAAGGCATTCTTCTCCTCATTGTCTTTTTGGACCTCTTCTCCATTTGGTATAGTCTATTTTTTAAGGCGTTATTTTCTTCAGTATTTTTTTGGTCTCTTTTAGCAAGCTGTTGACTCATTTTTCATGATTTTCTTGCACCACTCTCATTTCTCTTCCCAGTCTTTCCTCTACTTCTTTTACTTGCTTTTCAAAATCCTTTTTGAGCTCTTCCATGGCCCGAGACAATTCATATCTTTCTTGGAGGCTTTGGATGTAGGAGCTTTGACTTTGTTGTGTTCTTCTGGTTTTATGTTTTGATTGTCTTTGTCACCAAAGTAAGATTCTATAGTCTGTTTTTGTCTGCTATTTTCCCATGTTCCCAGCCAATTACTTGAGTTTTTAACTCTTTATTAAGGTAGGGCTCTGCTTCCAGTGTCTTGGAGGGTGTACTGTCTGAAGCTTCAGAGGTTTCATGCAGTTATTTTCAAGGATACTTCTAGGCACTCGTGAATTTTCGGGTTTTCCAAGGTGGTATGATCAAAGGAGAAGTGTTTACTCCTTTCCTGGCCTGTGCTCTGGTCTATGATCTGACCACAAACACCCTTTTCTGCCTTGGAGCTGTGAGGAGGATTTTCTCTGCATTGCTGCCACAAGTTCCACCACTCCAGTGCTCTTCCTCACCCTGGGACCACCACCCAAGACTGTGACCCAGATTCAAGCACAGGCAAAGCAAGAGAATCCTGCCTCAGTGCCAGCCAAGAGATCCCTGAAGTCACCCGCTAATCAGCCACTCGATCCCCCCTACCATTTGTGGGCCAAGAGTTCCAGAAGCAGCCACTACCACTGTGGCTGCAGCTCTGGGGTTGTGTTAGGACCAGGGCTGGACCACACTCCTCTTTCACCCAGGTCCAACAGACCTTTCACACTGATCTTCTAAATTGTCTTTGGTGTTTATGGGTTGAGAAGTCTGGAAACTGCCACACAGTTGTTTGTGATGTAGTCCCCTGAGGGCCTGCTCCAGGTTCACTGGGGCCCAGTCTTTGCCTGTGTGGCCCACGCTGAACTGCATTCCTCTCCCAGCCCCATCACAACAGACTTTTCCCCATCTACTATCCAGGTTGTCTTGGGCTGCAAATTTGTTTCACTCTTTTTGTGGGTTCTGTTGCTCTAGAATTTGTTTAGAGTCATTTTTTAACAGGTATTTGGAGGGGTTTGGAAGAGAGCTCAAACAAGTCACTGCTTTTACTCTGCCATCTTGACTCCACCCTTGGACCAATCTTTTTAAAAAGGAAAACCCCAAACAAGAAGTTAATTAATTAGGCTGTGTTTACAGTGCTGATGCCAACTGTAATTGGTTATTCAGTTGCCCTGTGCATTCCCTTCCCTTTTTACAGTCATTATTGTAAGGAAAAGATAATGTACTTGGATGTCAAAAGTATATACTTTTACCTTTCTTAGCAGGAGGCCACCCTCCCTCTGCTTTTGAGCATAATGACAGGTAATAGGTAGATTCCAAGCCTGATTTATTAACAAATGATTTTAATTTACAATAAAA